AATCAAAGCCTTAAATTACTGTGAGGTCAATATGTGAGGCCTAAATACAAGAACATGAACATCAGACTTAGGAATTTAAAAGGTCATCTTGGAGCATTATTACAATTTTCCATTACTAAGCTGCCTTAAAGTTTGTAAAATCACAAATTCATCCTATTTGAAAGTATATGATCTGACCATATATTTATGAAATACTATATTTTTCTTTATTTTGCCATATTAAATAAAAACAAGTACTAGGACAGTGAATTTTTAACATTCGCTCTGTTATAAATTTAAGGTTCAGTCAAAAGCTCATAATTGTGTAAAATGTGGGAAGTATTTGAAAAATTAGTTTTGTTTCCTTCATACAAAATAGCAGAGTTGGGCCCTTTGATTACCGTGCCTAATCAATTCTTTTGTGAGCAGGTCAGACAATGTCCATGAAGGCAGGATAGTACACAGTTTTAAGTGGGAATAAATAATTTCTTCTCCCTCCCCAAAATTCTTTACCTAGAAAAATAACAAAATGTAAAGGCTACTAAGCAAATACCTTTTGAATGGTTTGATGTGGTAAGTTTCATTAATGCCTCAAAGAAAAGTAACAGCCACACTCACAGAGAGATGAATTTGGGGAATGAAGCTACATTTGGGGAATATATGGAGACTGTGTCAACTTGATTGGTGTGGGGGCTGCCAAGGGGACTGGCAGAGCACTCTTCTTGGTGTGTCTGGGTGGTGCAAGGAGGTGTGACATTGGGCACTAGATCTGGTCCTTCATCCCTGTCTCTCTGATGCTGTTACCCTGCTCTGTTTCCCAGCAATGAACTAAGCATTTTTGCTCTGCCAGACCCTTCTGCCCTGATGTTCCTGTCTTAGAGCTTGTTGTCCTTATACTGAATGCCCTGAAACTATGAACTAAACTAAATCTCTCCTCCTTTAAGTTGTGGGTGTTTGGTACTACCCAGCAATTGGAAAGCTAATATATATGGAAAGCGGAGAAAATAATTACCAAGAAAAGTTAACTAAACATTGTAATCTATTAAAAGATATAATCAGCACCAACTATGTCTTCTTTCCAACTAAATTATTCACACTTTTGTTCCTTTTTTTCTTATAGTACATTCTGTACACCTCCATCAAACTGACTGAAACCATATAACAGTATCATATTTCTTCCTTGTTTGGAAAGTGTCAATGATTTCTCATTACTTTCAAGACAGTCTGGACTTTGCCATTTGACAGGCCTGATATGGCTTTTTCTAAAAAAAACTTTATGATCACTTTAACTTGGCTTTAAAACTTCCTAATATTTGACTGGAATGCTGTCAGCCATCAAAATGCTTGCCATTCTTCAGGGTCCAGGTCATATTTCATCTCCTCTGACCCCTATGAAGATGTGAAATCACTCCATATTAGAGAATTTCCTTTGTATCTTCCACATCACATTCAGCATATGCCTTAAGGGAGCGCACAATTTTCTGCTCTAGACAGTTACTAGTAAACACTTAACATGGCAGGAAGATACTTATTAAATGATTAATAAATTTCTCAAATTTATGTTTTTTGATGTTACTAGTAAACACTTAACATGGCAGGAAGATACTTATTAAATGATGAATAAATTTCTCAAATTTATGTTTTTTGATATTCAGAAAAGCAGAAAGAATCCCAAATTACCTTAAAGTACATGAACAAAAAAATTCATACCTGAGAAACAGTATTTTTGGTGCTATTGTTTTCAGGGGGAGGGTAGAATTCTGGTATCTAAGTGAATATGCTACAAAATATCAATTGAGAGCAGTTTCTTGTTTACATAGAAAATTTCCTCAAATTTTTTAAATCATCTAGCTCTGTTTAAACCAATGACTACATAGAAGTAGCACAGAAAGACCAAGGCCAGTTCTTAATTTCCCACATCTTATTCCTAACTAACGGGCTCCGCTTAACAACATCATCTATTTCATTCAGACATTGACGGTCCCAGAAAAATCCAGGTCTCAAATAATAAAATTAATTTATGTATTTGTTAAAGGAATATTTAAAAATCTGGTGAATTCAAATTCTTCAAATCTGAATCAAGTGAATTTAATACTGACTTTTGGGGGAACACTACCAAATTTAAATTTAAATAAATAAAAATGAAATAAATTACAATTTTATCAATTATAAGTATCTATCAAATATAAAATTTCAAATATTTAAAACCTTCAAACATTTCAAATTTTCAGGTACATCAAATATATATAAAATTATTAAATATAAATTATCTGCTTTTGAGAATGTATTAACATTTATTGTAAGCCAGAGAAAATGTGAGTGTACAATTTATAGATTTACTCCTATACTTTTGAGTTAATATTTTCTGATGTAATTCTTACATTTTAGAGAAAAGTCTGAATACTGAAAAGTCAATACAAAATTTTCCAATCACAGCCTACTTTCATTTGTTCATTTATTCGCTCACCTAAAAATGACTGCTGAGTGCCTAAGAGTCTAAAAGTCTGGAAGACCAAGAAAGGTATTATGGGTTGACTTTTGTGTGTCCTAAAAAGTCAGATATTAAAGTCTTAATCCCCTAGACCTCAGAAGGCAATCTCATTTGGAAATACAGTTATCACACATACAATTAACAAAGTAAAGATGAGCTCATAGCCTCTTGACAGCAAGTTGTCTTTTAAGAAGGGGAACTTCGGACACAATGAGAGAAAGAACAATGGAGGTAGGATCTACAAATTAAGAATACCAAAGATTGGGCTGGGGATTTAGCTCAGTGGCAAAAGCGCTTGCCTGGCAAGCGCAAGGTCGTGAGTTCGGTTCCTGGTACCGGAGAAAAACCAAAAAAAAAAAAAAAAGAATACCAAAGATTGCTAGGGATAGCTAGGAGAGAGGCATGAAAGATTTCTGCTAGCCCTCAGAAGAAAGCAATCCTGACAACATCTTGCTATTGGACTTTTAGCCTCTAAAAATGTGAGACAATAAATATCTATTGTTTAAGCTAATTAAGTTTGTAGTACTTTTCTTACAAGCAGCCCTAGGATATGACTATAAAGGCTTTTCTTGGGGCTGGGGATTTAGCTCAGCAGCAAAAGCGCCTGCCTGGCAAGCGCAAGGTCGTGAGTTCGGTTCCCGGTACCGGAGAAAAACCAAAAAAAAAAATATATATATATAAAGGCTTTTCTGAAAAATGAAATATGCATGTAATGAATGCATAAAATATTTGTGAATAGTCTATTTTATCATTATTGCCATGAAATATATACGAATCTATTATAAAGTTAAAATTCATTAAAACTTACGAATACATTTACAAACCACAAATACCACCATTTCCAGTCACAAAATATGTAAATCAAGGTAAATACACAGTATTAAGCCACAACTACATAAAATTAACCACTAGACTACCACAATGATTTCACAGCTATCCTTTGTTGCTATTGTGGTGAGTTCAAGTGTGGCATCTGCTTAACAATACCATGTGATACTGAATATCTCACATGGACAAGTTCTCTCCCCACTAAATTTCCTATCTCTAAAAAAGTGATCGCTTTTGATTCTAGGGTATTTTTCACCATGTATAACATATATAACGTAAGATATTTGTTAACTGTTTAATACATGTAACCTATAAAATATGTGTTAGTCAACTGCTTATCTTACCAGTAAAATTTCTGATTAACTGTGGGCTATGAGTAGTTGAGCTGTCGGACAGTCAAAAATTATATGGAGTTTTGACTGCATAGGGGTTAGTGGGGGCAATTTCTGTATTGTTCAAGAGTCAATTGTATATTCATAATGTAAAGTGCTTAGAATTTAGGTACACAGTCCACTTAACTGTCATTATTACCACCATTATCAAGTTTAAGGAGGCAAGGCTGAGTGTGAGGTAAGTATTAAGATAGAATTATAGTATGTATAATACAATAGTAATTATATATTAGTAAATACATTAATAACATATATAATACTGAATTGTTTACTATTTCATCCTTAGCAAGCTGAGTAGCCAAAAAGAGCAGACTTGACGAGGATGGAGGCCTTTCCTGGGATAAGGCTGCAGAGCTAAACATATGGTGAATTGGGTTTTAAAACTTTTGGAGTTTATTCTCACATGAATGAAAGGCTTTCAAAATGAGGTTTTAAGTTGGAAAGAAATATCACCAAAGTGAAATATTTTCCTTCTAGAGCAAAACTGTGAAGTGACCACTGATCTCTTTTAAAACCAAATTATTACTTAACGCAGCAAAAGTTTTCTAATTTGTTGTACATTTTTATGTACATTACTCAAAGTATAACTTACACTTTCAAAAGTGTAGCCTCCAGAAAAATTTGGTGAAGTTGCTTTAAGTCAACTGAATTTTACAAGGGAACAAAATGAAGTGCCTTACAGATAGAAAACAAAATTTGTTGATACAAACAGCCAGGCAAATTGTTCTCTAAAGGTTTCCAGATTTGGTGGGACTGCCTGGCTTACACTTTCAGGGAGGTGTTCTCTGATCACTACTTCACTTCACTATTTAGAGTAAACATACAATCTATTGTCTAATTAAGGAACTTTTGAGACTAAAAGAGGTCACTTAAAGCTACCCAAAGCCAAGTATGGTGGCTTACAATCCCGGCTACTTAAGAGGTAGGCTGAGGTAGGTGAAGCACCAAGTTCAAGCCCATCTTTGTCAACTTAATGAGACCCTGTCTCAAAAATTTTCTTAAAAATGAGTTGCTGGAGAATCCAAGTACTTGCCCAGCAGGGACACACAAGACCACAGTTTAAAAAAAAAATTACCCAAGACAACAGGCATAGATAGTCTTTCATTACTGAGTGTATTTTCCCTGAATCTTTGTCAGGCAGAAGATGGGGATGATACTGCATGAGGCTAAATTGTCAGTAGAATATGATAATGAATGAGCATCAAACGTGCAGCTGAAGCCCACCAATTTGCTATCAAAAAACCAGCAGTATCAAAAAGGAAATGCATACAACGTGGTAACTACAGCTTGTAAAGTTTAAATTTGTTTACCTCCATAACGTCTTCTAAATTCTCTTCTGCATCTGTTTTCTCTGTCATCAGTTTGGCTGCCTTAAAATAAGTCTTCATAAGTAGATAACCCCTTTTTGCTCCATTCCAGTATGACCGAGGTATTTCCACCAAGCCATACCCCAACAACAACACAAGAAGAAACAAACCCCACGTATTGGCAGCAGCTATACCAATTGTCTGAAGTTGGTTCCTAAGAGAAAGCATAACCACATGGCTGTGATAAATATATTTTCCTACAAAAAAGTAAAATAAAACTAGTATTAAATGGTTTTCCAGTAAACTACTTTAAAGGATAGGTAGGATTTTAAATGAAAAGATTAGACTTTCAAATACTCAGATTCTTATTTTTAGTCACAGCAGATATATTTTAATGGAAAGGCGGTTCACGAACCTAATTCTTTCCAAGATTCTGATTGCAAACTGAATTGGATGAGAATTAAATCAAATTTCCCCAGAAGGGAAATTGAACCTAACCATTGAACCTAACCACTGAATTTGATTCAGTTCTCATTCAATTCAATTTGTGACCAGAATTATGGAAAGAATTAAGTTCACAAACGTAGGTATCACTGTAACTCAAAAATAGATTTCAACATAGAAAATACTGATTCTATTACAGTTAAAAATACAATGTGGGGTACTCAATGGTAAAAAAAAAATACATATATATTTTTCCCAAAGGAAACATACTTGTCACTAGGTGCTTTCTAAGAGATTATGAATAAGTGAAGCATGAAAAAAATTTATATTAATTTCTGTGAAGGGCAACCTCCACAAATTTCAGGAATGCAACAGTAAGTTATAACTAGTACTCTATTTCTAAATTTTCAGATCTAGTTTCTCTGTACGTTACAGATAAGTACAAATTAGATTGCAATTTTATTGAAATGCCTAAACCTAAAATAACATTAAGAACAAATATGCTGTCAAAGTACAGTCAAAACAAAAGGAAAATTTAACAGCCGGCACGTTGCTGGGGGAATGAAGGAAGAAAACAACGTACTTCCTCTTTTATAAAATTTGAAATTTTATCTAAAAGCAATTTTATTACTTTTTGTACATAGCTATTAGTAAAGCATTTATCCATTTTACAATTTTTTTGTTTTGTTTTTTTTTTTGGGTACCAAGAATAGAACTGAGAACCTTGCACTTGCCAGGCAGGTGTTGTGCCGCTGTATCAATCATATAATTGTTACATGCATGTGTATGTATATTTTTTTATGGTACTAGAGATTTATTTCCAGTCGTTTTCTAAATTTTTAATTTTTTTCTTTTTATTTTAAAATTGTCTTGCTAAGTCACATAGCTGCCTGGTGTCTTCGTTACTTTTCTCATGTTGCTGAGACAAAATACCTGATGCTCAGAATTAAGAAAGGAAAGGTTTATTTAGCTCAATTTGTAGAAGTTTCAGTCCATACTTGGCTAGCTCCAAGGCAGAGTGGCACATGGTAGAGGGCAACAGTTCACGGCAGTGGAAAACAGCAAAAGCAGCAAGAGCAAAAAGAGAGGAGCAGCAGAGAGCAAGCCTCTTTCCCTCCCTTATATTGTAAGCAAGCTACCCGCCCCAGGGTGAATGTAGCACTCACACCTATAATCCCAGCATTGGACCATGAATCCATCAAAAACCTTAGAAGCCTGCTCCATGATGGCATCCGGCTTTGGGTGGGGGGATACATCTAGACACAAATCATTATACCTGGGCTCAGCTTGAACTTGTGATCTTCCTGTCTCAGCCTCCCAGAATGCTGGGATAATAGTCATGTACTACTATACCCAGCACTTAACAGCAATTTTTAAAGATGCTATTCCACATTTTCTTTCTTTTTTGTTTGTTTGTTTGTTTTGGTTTTTTCTTCCAGTACCAGGAATTGAACTCATGACCTTGCCCTTGCCAGGCAGGCACTTTGCCACTGAGCTAAATCCCCAGCCCCTACATTTTCTTTCTTAGTAGTAAGGATATTCAGATTTTTGTGGGGTAAGCTATAAAACACATAATTTACAAAAAAAAAAAACAAAAACACATAATTTACTAAGTTGCTTGGTAAAATGTCTATATTCTTATAAGATAAGGATTTTGAGGATAAATATACACAGAAATAATGTTAAGACTTTTCTTACCATTCTAAATGCAAACGTGGGTTTACAGCTACATAAATTAAAAATGCTCCAAAAATTAGCAAATATGTGCCATAGTAGATCGCATTCTCAATCAGTGCAGTTTTTATCTTTCCAGTGATGGAAAACCCTCCAGATCTTGCATATGACTGCATAAAAGGTAACAGAATCCTAGACGGGTAGAAAAAACATAATTAGAAAAACAAAACAGTTACATAAATGTTGTTCTGGTTTATATCTGGATGTCCCCCAAGAGCCTCCTGTGTAGACAGGCAGGTAAGGCTTTTGGAAGAGGACTGGACCATGGGGGCGCAATAGCCAAGCTGCTGTTAGTTGGTAGGGGAAGGCAGTCCCCAAGGGGTGTGACCTGGAAGTGTGTATCTCCCTTCTGGCTTTCTTCTCACTCTGCTTCCTGGGTGCAATGACATAAGCAGCTGTCTTCCTCTGCTATGCCCCTCTGCCATGCTGCTTCTACCTAGAGCAGCACACCATGCAAGGACTGAAACTTCCAAAACTGTGCGCTAAAATAAACCTCTCTTTCTTTAAGCTGTGGGTGTCAGGTATTTTGTTTCAGTAATAAGAAAGTAACTAAAATATCAGTATAATTCAAAATGCCAGAAATATATGAACCTCAATTTTAATGGATAATTCTCATTAATAATTATGTGTTAACAGTGAATAAACCATAAACTATAATCAATTGTATATTTTATAATATTACATTTGGGGGAAACAAAGTCCCCAGGCAGGAAAAAGCAATGAATATGCTTGGGGCATAGAAGGCCACAAGGATCAGCAATGTACAACAGTGTGAGAGATTTCAGGTAAGTCTAAAAATATGCCTTTAAAGGCCTATGAAGAATCTGGTCTGCATTGAAAGAATGAGGAAACTTTATTTTAATAAAAAGGACATATGATCAAATTTCAGAAGGACTGAACAGGAACGACACTGGAACTAGTGGGGAGGGTAAGGAAGGTGGTGATGAGAGACACGGGGGATGTGGAGAGCCAAGCATGATGGAGCAGTCCTCCAATCCCAAATCCCAGCACCTGGGAAGCTGAGGTAAAAGGATCATGAGTCAAGGCCAGCCTGGGCTACACAGTGAGTTCAAGGCCAACCTGGGCCACATAGCCACATAGTGAGCTGCTATCGAAAAAAGAAAAAGAAACAGGAGGGATTGATTGTAAACTCTAGTGCTTTGACTTAAGAGATATCCAACAGGAGCTGCAATGGGGGAAGGTAGTTGGCCAGCCAGCTGCTGAGTTTTAGAAAGACTAGAAAGACAGATTCTGGAGTCATCAGCCACATAAACAGTACAAAAATAGTATCAGTAGATGAGCTCTGGAAAGGTGAATGTGTGGAATGTGGAATATGTGGAATGAAGAAGGCAAAGAACTTTGACTTTTGAGAAACACCAACTTTTATGAGAGAGGTAGAGAAACAGGAGAAAAAGCAGCCAGTGAAGAAGACCAGAGTACAGCAAAGGAGCAAGGAAAAAACACAATGAGTAAATGGAAGAGATACTAGAAGGAAGTGTTTAAAACTGGAAAGAGAAACCAATAGATTCAAATGCTGCCAAGAGTTCAAGTAAACTAAGAACTAGTATGTATGCGTGGAGGCACGGATATAGAAAGAACAGCTACTATGGGTTGAGGAATAAGTAAGCAAATAAGACACCAAATGTACAGTTCATTTAAGAAGTGTACCTGGGTAGGATAAACTATTACATATACATAAAATGGAAATCTTGTAGAAAATAAAAAGAATACTGATGCATATAACAAGTAAATCTTTCAAACGTATAAGCAAAGAAGAGAGAGAGCAAAAGTACGTGTCATACAACTCCACGTTTATTAAGTCACAATCAAGCAAAATTAACTTATGGTGATGGAAGTCAGAGCCCTGGTTGTCTTTGGGGACTGGAGATGACAAGAAAGGAGCAGGAGGAAGGCTTCTGAGGACATCGTTAATGTCCTACATTAACTGAGTGTTGTCCTGAGTGTTGGAGAATGGGCACATTCACACTGAAAAAATTTAAGTAGCTGGGTACAGTAGCACATACCCATAATCTCAGCTACTTAGGAGGCCAAGGGAGGGGTTCAGGACTTTGATGCCAGCCTGTGCAACCTGGCAAAACGCTTTCTCATAAATAAAAGAACTAGTGATGTAGCTCAGTGGTATAGCATCTGCCTAGTATGTGCAAATCCCTGGGTTCAATCTCCAGTATCATTAAAAAAAGAGTCAAACTAAACACAACCTGTGGATTTTTCAGTAGAAATGTATAATTCAATTTTTTAAAGTCTCCAAAAAATTTAACTGTAGGAAAATCAACATGATAGAGGTTGGAAGGGAATCTGGGTTGAGAGTTTTTTTTGTTTGCTTGCTAGTTTGTTTTAAAGGATGAAGGAATTACTTTGTCAAAACTAAAAGCTGTAAGTAGGTGACAAGAGCTGAAGGAGTTATGTCCTCAATTTAGGAAGAGGGAGCAGCTTTTTTTTTTTTGGTACCAGGAATCGAACTCATGACCTCAGGCTTGCCAGGCAAGCACTTATGCCGCTGAGCTGTATCCTTGGCTGGGGGAGCAGCTTTACAAAAATAATTCTTCCATCCTTCGATGGGAAGTGAGAAACAATGGGTAGTAAAGTAATTTGTTGGTGAGAAACTGAAAGAATATTGATCTGATGATTTCTACTTTCACTGTGAGATAGAGAGTAAAGTCATATGCTAAGAGTGAAGGTGACTTTAGTGGGGGGCAGAGAGAGCCACAAAAAGGATAGAAATTTTCAGTGATGGGAGGTGTCTGATGAAGGAAATAAGCAGGAAACAGATTAATGAAACAAAAAAGGAAACAGGCAATTTTGAGGGCCCAGAAGAGAATGAGAGAATGAATTTACAGGGACATGAATCTACTCTGTTGTGTAATTTTTCCTTTTACAGTATTCAGCCCAGGGCTGGGGATATAGCTCAGTGGTAGAGCTCTTGCCTTGCAGGCAGAAGGCCCTGGGTTTGATCCCCAGCACCACAAAAAAAAAAAAAAAAAAAAAATCAGCCCAGATTGACAGCTTAGCTGCATCTCAGAAATGTTCAGTAGGCAGTGGGTAAATGTGTCTTTGGAACCAGCAGAGAAAGCAGAAAGACGAAGTTGTAATGGGTCTCCAGAAAGATTTGGGATGCATTATTGGCCAATGAAACTATGGCTCTAATTATAACTGTTCACGAAGAGTCAGACAACAAGATGATCAAACTTAAGACTCCATGAAGGGAGTTCAAAAGGTTGGCGAAGAAGGCAGAAAAAAAACAGAGAATAATGATGACATTGGCAAGGTCATTTCCTATAAAAACGTGACTAGAAGAGGACTGGATTTTGGATCAAGAGAGAGAACAATAACTGGAAAAAAAGAGTGACAAGGAAAATTTTTTGGGTTTTTTTTGTTTTCTATTTTTTGTTTTTGTTTTTCTTTTCTTTTCCCCATCCTTCCTCCTTCCCTTCCTTTTTAATAAAAGGAGATTTGAACCAGCAGAAAGGGAGAAGATAACAATTTAAGGAGGAAAATGAATTCCAAAATACAAAGGTTCAATGGAAAAAAAAAAATCCCCTTTTCTTATTTTAGCCAAAATTTAAAAAAATTTATCCTTCACTGTCACTTACCATGTTAAAAATTGTGATGTCCAATATACTACCCTCCAGAAAATTGGCATGATTCCATCAGGAATGTAACTCCATGGCTTAAAACATGGATGTTGTCTGTTTAATAAAAATTTAAAGCCAATTAATCATAAGTAATTATTACTTAAATGAATTATACTATTAATTTATGTGTAGCACAGTTCATTTAATCAGATTAAAAATTACTGACTTTGTCTCATAATACTTCATAGAAAATTTAAAATTCAAAGCTGACTCTTAAACTAAAAACACACACACACAAACTAGGCATGGTGGTGTGCACCTATAATCCTAGTACTTGGGAGGTTGAGGCAGGAGGATCGCAGTGTGTTCAAGGCCAGCCTTGGCTCCATAGTGAAACCCTGTCTCAAAAAGTCAAAACAACAACAACAAAACACACACACAAAGAGAATAAAACAATTTGTTCTAAAGAGAAATACCATTTAGTCTTCAACTTTCAGTGTATTTTCAGTCATAGAGTAAAAATAATAGACTAACGATGCAACAGTCTTTAAAAGTAAATGTTATCAAGTCAAATCTCTATGATTAGTCTTAAAGTACATACTCACCCTATTTGTGGAGTTGGTTAAGGTTTTTTTTTTGGTTTTGGTTTTTTCAAACAGAATCTCATTATGTAGCTCAGGCTGACCTTGAACTAGCTCTGTAGTTCAAGTTGGCCTTGAACTTATGACCCTCCTGTCTCAGCCTCCCAAGATGTTTTACTTTGTTTTAGTGTTATATAGAAATGGGGTTGGAGAAGAGATGATATTAGGGGATTAACTTCTAGAAATTAGAGTACTAATTAAATTTGTCACTATAGTATAGCTTTTATGGAGATGCATACCAGTATCAATACACAACTGTGTTTGAATTTTCTGATGAGTCTCTGACCATAGATTCCTCCACATAAGGTGCAAGGTGCAAGGATATCTTTTAGGTGCAAGGATATCTTTTAATCCAAGTTTTTAACAACATCCTATAATTTCAACTGATCAACAAACAGTTTCTACTGGTGCTTCAAAGAGGAGTAACAACTACAGTTTAAATTTATTCAATTTAGATTTTTTTTTTTTTTAAAGCTGCATAAAGAAACACACACTACTTAAAGCACTGGTAAAACTTTGTATTAACACAGATTAGTTTTTTTACCTGGAAATTTGATGTTGTAATGGTTGATACACTGTGTCAACTTGGGAAATCTAGAAGCTTAACTAGGTAACTCAGCAATTCTACATCCTGGGGTGTAGAGGACGTGCCCTTACGGCCATAGAATGTTGTTCATCATGTCAACTTGAGAAGTTTAGAAGTTTAACTAAGTGACTCAGCAGGGTCCAAGAAGAGGGCAGAGGTTGTGTGAGCGCTACACCTGCCCTAGCGGGGGTAGCCTGCTTACAATATAAGGGAGGAAAAGAGGCTTGCTCTGCCCTCTTTTGCTCTTGTGGCTTTTGCTGTCTTGCACTACCTTGAGCTATTGCCCCTGTGCCATGCCACTCTGCCTTGGAGCCAGCTGATTAAGGGCTGAAACATCCACAGACTATGAGCAAAACAAACCTTTCCTGCCTTAATTTGGGGTGTCAGGTATTTTGTCTTAGCAATGAGAGAAACGTAACCAAGACAGATATGAATTCAATATTACCTTGTGACAAATTGAATTGTACTCACTCTTGACTTAAAACACTAATGGTTTTAAGGGATATGCCATACAAAAGGAATACCCTACATACAGAATAACCCCCTTATTCTTCATAACAACCTTGTAAATTAGGGGGAAAAACACTGCATGATCCTTAATTTATGTATTTATGATGTTGGAACCCAGGAATGTTCATGTTGCACTTTTTTAGATATGAGACTGAGGCTGAGGGGAAATAAAAGTTCTGGAAGTCTGACACTTGGAAATGGAAAAGTCAGGCTAAAACATGACATCTCCTTTAAGTTTTTCACTACTGTGCAGTTTTTCATCTACTGTGCATCGACAAATATTTAGTTTAGATTTAAATTGAAGATGACATACTAAAAAGAATACTGGTAAAGGATGAAAGTAGAAGGATCAGTAGAGATCAATTTTTATAAATATAAAAAATATGGGTGATAAAAAGTTTTAAACAGTTTTCTTCCTACAGCATTAAGCTACAAAAATTAATAAAAATACAAAGAGTAAAATACCTGGGAACTGGGGTAATAGTTGCATATGATCCTGTACTGTTGTTATTCTCTGGAGGGCTTGAATTTGCAGCAGCATGCCTGCACCGGTTGTATATTGTCTAAAGCAACCACAGTTTAAAATTAGAATCAAAAGTTATTAAGTTTTTAAGAGATATTGGGGTTTATAAATCTACCTACCTAAAGTTATCTTCCTGGTTATGCTGTTTAATGATCAAATTCCTAAAATAATATTTAAATTCAAACTACATGCATAACCCATAACCTGATATAATTTAGCTTATTAGGATAGAATGTACTGCAAACAAACTGTGTAATTATAATTGCTTCTTAAACTGTGAAAATCAGTGTCATCTCTTACCGTACTAACATCCAGAGGCAGTATGAAGACAATAAGAAAGCAGAGATACCAAGCAAGCAATGTACCAACAATTACAAGTCTATGCTGTTTCTTGAAGTCTCCATATCGATGAAGTAGAAATAAAGCCAGAAAAAAGACAAAAACAATCTCAAGTCCCAAAGCTGCACCACTCATTATTGAATATTCGCTCTGAGTCACTGAGGTTATTCATGTACAGTTCTGAACCATAGCTGTTCACTGAAAACAAACAAAAAATGTATTACCAGCACAGGAAACAACCATGTGGAAATTTTCTAAATGTTTATTAATAATGGGGAAACTGTCATGCTTTACATTGGACTGACAATAAAATGAAAAGAATAATTCCTAGTGTCAAGTCCTTATATCGTACTATTTAAAATCCATCTTAAAAATTTCACATTGGCCAGGGATATAGGTCAGTGGCATAAGCGCCTGCTTGGCAAGTGCAAGGTCCTAAGTTCGATTCCCAGAAAAAAAAAAAAAGAAAAAATTCACATTGTACCTTCAGAAAAAGTTATTCTAACAAAAGTCATGCTAGTTCTTAAAATATTACAAATTAAGACATTCTTAATACCAGATGTGAACAGTTCCAATACAATGTCATCTGGAGTTTCTCAATGTTCTAAATCCTAACAAAATATTTTATAAGATACTACCCTAGGAAACTATATATTTAGGCAATCTTTAGCAAATTAAGATCCTAGGAATTAGATATTTAGCAAAATAAAAGTTTTCTAAAATATGGGTAGCCCATAATTTAACCTTTCTTTTGTTTGAAAAAATATTTTCCTTTTATGTTAATGTTTTCTAACCCAACTTTCAGGACTTAATATACTTATTTTTGCTGCTGTAGTGGCACATGCCTATAATCCTAGCACTCAGGAAGCTGAGGCAAAAGGACTGTAGCCAGTTTAAGGCCAGCCTGAACTACACAGTGGGATCTTGTCTCCAAAAGAAACCTTATTTTTTACTGTTTCACAGACATACTTACCACTTTCCACTTATCTACATACATCTCATTTTCTTTAGACACTTTATGCATTTTTATATGTGAAAATAACTATTCAATAACCATACATTTAAAAATATTCTTAATTAAAAATGTTGATGATACAGACATCAGCAAATGGTTTATTTGATATTACTGTACGAAGAAAAATAATTTATCATTACTAACTGAAGGCAATATGCAACTTGTGTAGTCAGTGTAAGACATTTTGTTTGGCTATAAATAAGTAATTAATAGCTCAACATTGAGATTTAAGATCATAATATAACCAAACAAAATAAAGATCAATAAAATCCTTCAAATTGACAAACATTGCCAGTGAAAACTAGCTATAAAAAGAATGAAAACTTGAATATTTTAATAGTGTTAAAGGGTATCTGAAAAAATGTAGCAGGATAATGGAACAGATAGTAATGAAAGGGTTTCATTTGGTGATTTTTTAAGAAAAATGAAAATATACAAAGGAATGGAAAGAAACTGAACAATATAAAATAGTATATTAAACATGGTTTTTGTTTATGATATATCATGTAGAAATATTGCCTATATAAATTTAAATATACTCTATTATGGCACAATTAAATTTTCTTTAGAGTCTCACAAGGTGGCAATAGGTTTGCATTCCTCTCTGGAGAAGAATCTTTAATTTCTAGGATCTTAATTTGCTAAGGCTGCCTAATCTTAGCAGTAGATCCCCCCTGGATACCCTAATCACATGTACTGGTTCCAGAGATAAGGGGAGCACATCCTTGTGTATTAGTCTGTTTACTTCATCATCTACTTCTTTTAACAGAATGTTTTCTTCTTATGAAACAGGTGACACCTACTCATTTTATGAAATGGGAGATAAAAATTAGCGTTTCCTTAACCTGAAATGAGAAAGTAACCATTTTAAAGCCTATCTTCGAATTTCTACCTAAATTCAAAACAGCAATTGTTACAGCACAGAAAAGCACCTTCTAAGATTCTTTGGAAATTCTGTACCCTGTCCTGGTTATTTCAACTGAAAATTTTTCTGTGGAAATTTAGGGGTATTTTATTCTCTGATTTGGTTACTTAGAAATTAAATTATAATTTATTAAAAAGTTTTCAATTGAAATTTAACAAAAATAAAGGCTGAACAACTCAAGCCTAGCTTATTAAATAATTCACTGCTACAAGGGCAGCATTTTGTCAACATATATAGAAAATCTTTCAGAGAGTATATATTCTTTGTCCTAGCAATTCCTCAACAAATACCTTTTTTTCAAGAAATGCCAAAATGGGAATAAAAATTTATCTACAATATTACTTTTTACTATAGCATTATTTAAATCTAAAAACACAGGGCCAGGAATATAGCTCAGTGGCACAGTGCCAGCCTGGCAAGTGCAAGGTTCTGAGTTCGATTCTTGGTACCACAAAAAAAAAGTCTGAAAACACAGAACTTAAATGTTTGTACTAAACAGTCCTATCCCATTGCTGCCCGTTGACTTTTTGAGAAAAACAGCTAAGGATTTCATAATTTACTAATCCTGCTGTTCTAGCCATGCTTGATGGAGCTGGGATCTATGCCTGAGTCAAACACTACCCAACAGTAACACTGTATTGCAGACAATGATTAAAGAAGATCATCGGTTTTTCCCAACCTAGGAGAAAGGAGATCATATATATGTACATATACAGATACAGATACATATCACAATGGTTGTCACATTGTAGTAAAGAGATAATTTCTACTTTCTTCTTTGTGCTTTCTTCTATATGTAATTTTAATAGTTAATCTATATTACTTTGCAATCTTAAAATCATTTTCACATCAGTATAGTAATATGAAAGTAAAATCCAAAGAAAATGAAAAGTTTTACCAGATGTTAAATGCCTAAAATTATAACTTTAAAAATATTATGTCTTAGCAAACCTAGGCTCCAAATCCAAACTCTATTTCATAATTATGTAGTAACTTTTATGCAATGTAGGCTGTTAAAGGAGGAAACCACCTTAGATAGCTTGCTATAATCAAATAAAGTATACACAAAGTAGGAGTCTCAGGCAGAGTAGGTCTTCAATAAATGCTGGGTGCTTATCACTGCTGCCTTCATAGATACACTTCTAGAAAGTATCTAGTTGCCTCAATGGTATCCCAACATACCTTTATCCTTAAATGGTCTGTTCCCTGCCTCCTTAAAAAAAAACTGTAACTAGAAAGCAGCTGTTTTTCACTTCTCGTTCTCTGTGGTTCCAATAGTCTATGCCAACCATCACTGCTACATGAGAAAGTTATATACGTTCATAAAAATTGCTTCCTATGCATCTCTCAACAAATTAGGATTATCTTCCTCAGTCTGCAAGGTTGCCCAAGCATCCCTTCATGTTTGTTTTGAAGAAACACAACATATCTCAGAACCATGTCAAGAAGGTATACCTAACACACTAATGGCATATAGAAAGACAATGTCATTTTTCTAGGCACATTATTAAAACACAGACTATCATAGGCTATTTGCTGAACTATGATCATTTGTAGCTTTACAAAAATTTTCAAAGACAAAAGCAAAAATATGTCTCTGACCACAACAGTTGACTTATATTACTCTTCAAATATTAAAATAATATGTTTAGGGAGAAAGCAAAGATGATACTAAAATTTAGAGGCAAATCAAAATTCAGTTCCAGGTAACTACAACAGACAGGGAAGCCAGAATGGTGGAAATTATCTCTTTACTACAATGTGACAACCAGTAATATAGATTAACTATTAAAATTATATATAGAAGAAAGCACAAAGAAGAAAGTAGAAATTATCTCTTTACTACAATATGATCCCAGTTACTCAGGAGGCTGAGGCAGGAGGATTTCAAGTTTGAGGCCAGCCTTAGTGTACTGGTTACCTTTCCTGTTGCTGGCACAAAATACCTGACACCTGCAACTTAAAGGAGAAGAAGGTTACATTCGTTCACGGTTTCCAAGGTTTCAGTTCATGGTCAGTTGGCACCAAAGTAAAGACATCATGGTAGAAAGGCATGAGATATGAAAGCTGCTCAACTCAGGGCATCTGGGAAGCAAGAAGCAGGAGAAGAGCCCAAAAGCATGGGACCAGAGACCAGATTTAGTCCCTAAAGTCATACCCCATGGCTGACCCAGAAGTATGCTTTACTGATTTCCTAGGCACTTTTCAGGCCAATCAATTTGATGATCAAGATTAACTGTCATGCTGGGTTAATCAAGACCCTGTCTCAAAATAAAATTTAATATAATTTAGGTTTAAAAAGATTGGGTATACAGCTTAGTGGTAAAGCATCTGCCTAGCCTGTGTGAGGCCCCAGGTTCAATTCTCATACAGAAAGTGAAAAAAAAAAAAAAAAAAAAAAAAGAACCACCGGGGCTGGGTGCTCCAGCTATCAAAGGATGGCATTAACACTACAGCAGTGAAAAGTTTATTTTACTGAAAAAATCAAAATGTCAATTCCTTCTATCAAATCTTAGTGCCTGGTGTGTAGGTAGATATATTATACCTTCAAAATATCAGATCCAAAATTTTAAACATTTAAAAACCAACTTAGTCTTTTTCTAATCATCAAGATATTATTCAATATTATTTTCAAATGCCTTTATAACAGTTTTATAATCAGCTTGTTAAAGTTCCTGACTTGGAGTTCTCTTTCCTGAGTATCTTATGGCTGATAATAGTTCTTTCAGGAAACCTTCAAGAGGTTAAGAGAATTTTAGAATTTGAGGGATTCCAATGTTCAAAAAGAGAGAGATAGAGAGCAAGAACTGGTAGCAACTGATGAAAACACAAACAAAAACCTAACAAAAGTTGAATTACAACCAAACATTTCTAAACTGAAAAATTTCCAGTGAGACCCTAATGATTCCTTAGACTCATTAACTTACATAATTTTCTTTACTCAAATATTTGACAAAATAGGGACAAAGTAAATAATAAAATAAAAATCATAGATTAAAAACTAGGAGACAACTCAAGATCTTAGTAATAAAAAACAAAAAGAACCAGAAGTAGAAGTGAATAATAAAAAGTCAAATTTAAGTCTTCTAAACAATCATTACTCTCATATTTAAGGTTTCATATATAAAAAGTTTCTCATATTTAAGGTTTCATATATAAAAAGTTCAGTTTAGGATATAGAGTACCAAAGGAACTCTCCCTCTCATTTAAAATGAGAAAAAGTCATATAGCTTTTAAAGCCATTTAAGAGTTGAGTTGGCAAACCAACCAATGCAAAGAAAGTCGTGTTTAATATAGAATTAAACTTCTCACTTTACATGTAATACCGCCACTACTTGATACAGGCTAAATACACGACTATAATCTACATGACAGAAGTAGAAAACGTACAGCAAATTAGGACTTTCTTTTCCTTGTCCCATCTATCACAGAGCACTAAATTGAAGAGAAAAATCTGCTTTAAGACTAACCAATGAAAATGACTGAAATTTGAAATGTGATTAGCAGATGAGAAATTTGAAATTTGATTAGCAGATGTCCTCATCTTTTTGTCCTGCTGAGCTAAATAATGTAAGACAAAAAAAACTAAAGAGTTTTAAAATTTACTTCATGCTATGATGGAACTAAGGTAAAAAGCACATTGCTCTTCTATGTAAACAGAATTCCCCTTGTCTTATTCAATTTTCAAAAATAAGACTACTACTGAATGCATATATAGTGGGGTTGCATTTTAAAATATCTTCCATAAATTAACATTAGTTTAATGAATCTTAAACTCAGCCTAGTATTCTTAGCCTCATTTCAATTAAAATCAATTTATTAACAGATCTCTTTACACCAATCATTACTTTCAAGAGCAAACGAAAGGTTCAGATTTCCTTCCTCTGTCAAGCGGTAGTTACTTTTCAAGCCACTAAGCTTTCAAGAAGCACACACCTGGGCAAGGGAGATTTAATTTCAGTGTACAGTGAATTAAGTTTGTTTCAAAGAAACCTGAGAGTATATCACATAGCATACTGAATTAATGTCTGTGATGGAGCAGGCCTGCTTACTTTTGAACATTATGACTCTTCACTTCTACTAGGGTTAGAGTTTGATCTCCTTCGCTCTCACACCGTTTTCCCACGGTCACAGGTGTACACTTTGCACGGTGGATTTCGCACGGTCATCTGTGCCTGGAATATGCAATGCTCCCTACCCTAACCGCCCACAACCTCTTCCAATCAGAGATAGCTAAATGCAGCTTGCTTTTAGGGGGCCGAGCAAACGGACACAGTCGCTTGAGCCAGTACATCCAAATGGCATTGCTGGTGGCCTCTTGCTTGCCTGGTAAAGCCCTTTGCAAACATACAGTCATCTTATTTATTCCTTTGCTAGCATGCAGGAGGATATGAAGCTTTCCTACCGCACGCAGGAGCCACTGTGGTCTCCAGCTCCTCTAAAATTAAACCACCGTTTCTCGTTGGAACTGCGCTTTACTTTACACCAGGCTTTCACGCCCAGTATCTCATTTGATCCTCCCTTCAAGCTTGTGAGAAGTGCCTCGTTGTCGTGCCAGTGTTACAGAGGGGGGAAGGCTCCCGTTCACCGACGAAGCCCTAAGAGCGGCCTCTCCCCAGTGGAAGAAGCTTTCTGGCAAAGGCACTGGCAGGTGTGATCCTCCAGGTTCGCAGCCTCTCACCTGACCGGAAGGCTGAAGCCAGGGGTGGGCCTCGCGGCGGCCGCTCACTCCCCCGCACTCCCCTCCACCTCCGTCTGCGCTCCGCCGGGACCCCGACCCCAACGCGCCTCACACGCGCCCCCCTGGGACTCACCGTCTGATCTCGCCAGACAGCGTCTGGAAGGGGCCGGTAAGCTCCCCGTCTGTTACAGCCGTCCAGGGTCTGAGACCCACACTCAGGGGAGACGGCGGTGGCGGTCACCAGAAGGCCTCTGGGCTCCCAAGAAAGGAAAACCCGTCCCGTCAAGCAGCTGACATTTCCCAGTCAATCGGAGCCCCGCCCACTTCCGCCTCCCCGCCTCCCCCGCTCGCCGGCTGGCCCCGCACCGCGGGGAATTGTGGGTATCTGGTAGGCGGGCAGAGCTGCTTGTGCCGGAAGTGGGAGCGAGCCTGTCGGACTGCAAAACAGTATAGGAACTACAATTCCCAGCAGGCTACAGGAGCAGACATCGGCCGTAGGGAGAGCGGGTCAAGCAGCTCTGCGCGCGCTGCAGGGATGGAACGTTGCTACAGTTCGCGGGTCTGACTGCTAGGGGCCAAAGCTGCACGCTGGGAGCCGCTGCGCGCCAAAGCGGGAATCCAGGAGGCGGGCAGTTCTGCAATTAATGCACGTATTTAAAACTCCGGACCTGGTGGACGCCATGCACAGGTAAGTCGATTGCAAAGAGGTCGGACCGTGGATAGACCTGCTGAATTATTTTAGGCCGCGAATATTGCTACTTGCTAAGATTATTAATGCAGTTGAGTGAAGAATTCCTTAGTCCCTTGGGGAATGTGTGGATGGATGGATGCTTCCGTGCGGGAGTCAGATACGATTTAGTTTGGTTTCCCTGGTTGAGTTTTCCTATTACCGTTTACAACCACTGACTCCTCTTTACTTTTTCCCTCCACGGGAAGAAACTTGAGGCTCTCTGTGGGATCGTAAATCAAAAAGACTTTCCTTTTTGTTTTTTCTGTTTTGTCTTTCATTCTTGGGGAATAGCAGTGGGCATGTAAGAAATATAATTCTGTTAGCTGCAGTTAAAGTTATCTACGAAGCATTAACTTGATGCTTCTTTCGTGCCTACCCAGAAATTATTTAGGGGTGTGTTTTCACAAGAAGGGGGATGATATTGTGCCCTTCTACAGGAAGCACCTCCAGGAGATTCCGGACCAGAGTAGCAACGTTACCACCAGCTTCACATGGGGCTGGGACTCCAGCAAGACCTCTGAGCTGTTGTCAGGCATGGGGGTCTCCGCCCTTGAGAAGGAGGAGGTGGACAGTGAGAACATCCCCCAGGAACTGCTCTCAAACCTGGGCCACTCGCAGAGCCCCCCACGGAAAAGGCTGAAGAGCAAAGAAAATGATAAAGATTTTGTGATCATCCGCAGGCCTAGGCTCAATCGAGAGAACTTTCCAGGTAAGGTTTGAGAGTAAAATTGTTAGTTACCTAAGGGGTGGATTGAACTACTTTGTTGGTAAACCTTTGTTGGAGGATCTTCAGGATTGGCTGCTTTTTGTATCGCCCAGTCTGAAACTTATTTTCCAATGAAATGGGGCCAGCCATCATTGAAGTCTGCCGGAGTTATGTAGGTCTATATCTTCTGGTGTGCAATCAACTTGAAACTTTTAACCAGTGGGAAAACATTCGTGAGAAGACATTCGCGTCTTTTTCCTTAGAAGGGAATCTGGCTGCCCAAAGTCCAGCTCAGGGCCTCTGATAAATGGGAACATAAACAATGATCCGCTTGAAGGATTCTTTTTGTTTATACTCTGCTGCTTTGAACCCCTGAGTGAGCTTTCTGTTCTAATCATGTTAATTATTTGTCAGTGGTCTGCAAAAGCAAATCTTAATCTAAGTGGACAAGACTTATCTCATCAGGCCCACTCTCAAATGGGCTTCTTTTGGTATGCTCTGTCTCACTGTGGCATTATCTGCTCAGTCACCTAACTTAAAACCCTAACTTCGGTCCGAGTACCCCAGTATCTAATGAGTACCCCAACCTCTAATCAGTCATCACATCTTTCCGTCTTATCTAGTAAGTATTTTTCAAGCCCTCATCTTCTCTTGCCTTAACTATTGTAATAGCCTTATAATAATTTCAGCCTTCTTCACCCAGGGTCATTCTCCACAGGTAGCATAGATTGTCTAAAATGTAGATAGATATCACCACATGTTACCTTTTCCTAATAGCTCCCCAACCTCTGGATTTCTCAGTCAGACGAATGAGTACCTTCTGAATGGATCAGAACCATGGAGTACTCAAAGCCATAGGGCCCTGCAAGCCATAGCATCCCGCATTGACTTGGTCAGTTATTCTTGCTAGTAAGTATTTAAAACAGTAATTCAGCAGATATTTGTGGAATGCATACTGTTTGTCAGGCATTGTGCTAGGTGATGAAGCTACAACCGCGAGCCAAATGTAAACATTCCTACTTCGGTGGAGTTTCCATTAAACGCATTAAGTAGGGTGTTTTATGTAGTGTGGAAGAACATAATACTAAATGCTATGGCTAAAAATAAAAACAGAGCAACCCAGAAGGGAGTTGGAGTCCTGGGATGAGGAGATAGAGTATGGATTTAAGCAGGGTTTTGAGGGAAAGCCGCAGTTGGACAGTGGCCTTTAAGTAAAGGCATACAGAAACCAGGCGATCTTGCAAAACCCAGCCACAGGCAAAAGGAACAGCCTTTAGAAGATCCTTAAGAAAAAATGACATGTTTACCCGGGGAGCAACAAGGGAGCCACATACCAAGAGTGGGAAAGCTGAAAGTAGGGGGAAGTCCAGCAAGATGGGGGCTTAAGCAGAGCTGTGATGTGATCTGACTGAGCCTTTTAAAAGGAGACAGCGATGTGCCAAGATGAAACATTAGGGAATAAAGGAAAGAAGCTTGGAAGCTTCTTAAAGAGATAGGCGAGGATGCTTTAAGTGGTCAGATTCGGGATATAAACATTACAGACAACAGAATTAGGAGGCTATTGAAATTGTGAATAGATGCAGTCAGAGGCTGAAATTTGGTAATGATAGAGAAGACAGATTATTAAAAAATGAAGTCCTCTAGAGCCAAGATAAATAAGTGTATTTCCTAAATTCTCCCCTCTGGCTTCTTCTGTGAAAGGGTTTATGGGTTAGTTGATTGACTGTATTTTTAAAAAATTGCTTTCTTCTCCCTTTCTGTAGAAATGATGCTTGTGCAGTTACAGCATGGGAGTCTGCATTAAGAATTAATCAGAAGCTGGGCGTGGTAGCGCGCGCCTGTAATCCCAGCACTCGGGTGGCTGAGGCAGGAGGATTGTTGCGAGTTCAAGGCCAGCCTGGGCTACAGAGTGAGCTCAAGGCCGGCCTGAACTGCATAGCGAGACCCTGTCTCAAAAAAAAAGAGATAAATAGATTTCAATTAACTTTCCTGTTTCGGTAGTTTTTGACGTGAAGTGTGATTGCTGTTTGTCCTTCCACATTCACACATACACAAATGTAAATTAAAAAGACTTTTCTTTAAAGCAAGGCAGTATGGGAACTGGGTAGAAATATAGGGGATATTTATTGTGTCCTAGAAATTTGCAAATAAAGTTGGAGAGAAAAAACCTTAAGAGCAGCTCACCCTGAGAAATATGTGACTGCTACTAAAACACCAACAGAGGAGCGGTTCAGAGAGTGAGTGCTGTAGGGGAGTGGTGGCAGACCTATGGCACGCATGCCTCAGTGGGCTGTTTGTATCACTGAAAGCTCTAAAAGGTTAGCCATCATTGTTCTAGGGGGTCAGAGAGAAGGATTCTCTTGTACAAAAGGGATTGAGTTCCCATTCAGATAGATGTGGACAGTCTTCCTTACAGTGAGCAAAAGTAGAAGTTCCAAGATTTTAAAGTTGGCTTTAGAAAACTTTTGTTTTTTATTACCGAAGAAAGAAGTACAGGAGAGAAAGGTACAGGAGACAGAAAACAGTAGTATACATCTGTGTGTGCATGGACTTACATACATGTAGATTGATTCATTGCTACAGATGGTGCGGGGTGTCCAGGGATGCAGTGTGAGGGGCAGCTGGTGTAGAAAATTCCTGTTAGGCCTCCAGAAACCTAGGCTTTCTCTGTAGCTAGATCCTCATTCCAAGAAGTTTTGCCTCCAGTTGTCAGGACAGGTGGCTGATAGCTCTGCCAGGATTAGGGTAGGACAGACCATGCCTGCTGTACATAGAGATCTGATGACTAGCCTGGGGTGTGAGTTTTTGTTAGTTCTTTGCTAAGCAGTCTTTCCCTGCAAGCTCCAATCCAGCCTCACATCTGGCAGTAGAATCTTTTTCATCTGTTTATTTTGGAAGATTAGAGCTATGGGGCCGGCTATACCAGCATGAGTCTGATTTGCCCTGGGGTGAGTGAATGGAAGGACTCAGGAGGAAGCAGCCCAGCAGTGAGGCCAATAATACGCAAAAAGGAGACAATCACATTGTATTTATGATCGTTAGTTGCCTGTTCTCTGCTCTTTAAACAGGTGATGGCCTTGAAAATGTGGTTGAATGAATTTGTTGATCAGCTTTTCCGTGGCTGTTAGATTGCTTGAAATTCCAGACCCTACAAAGGCTCCCAGAGTGGAGACTAAAGTTCAGGGTATATCAGAATCCCCAAGGGAACTTGTTCAAAGTGCAAGATTCCTGAGATTCTCATCTGAGAACTCTGAGGCCTGGGAGCCTGTTTTAAAACCCAGGTGAAACATTTTTCATGCAACTTTTTATTTGTTAACCAGTAAAGAAATATATTTCATATTCCAATCCTTGATGTGTATCTGAGATGAGAGTTTCACAAAATGGTGTTTCCCCTTACCGAGATTTTTCTGGTCAAACTTACTAAATTGATTTCATGACAAATCCATGAGTCGCAGCCAACAGTTCCCAAATTTCAGTTCTGTGGGAGAGTTTTTGGAACTGTCCTGTTCATCTTTGTGTGTTTGTTTCCTGCCATTCATTCATTCTGGCAAATACTCATCAAGGCCCATTCTTGGGATTGGTAATACAGCATTGAACATGAGCAAAAGACCTTGCTGTCATAGAGTTTATATCCTGTACCTTATTCCCAAGTTCCAATTTGTGTTGGTTCTGTGTACTCCTTTTATCCCCAGGGTTAAGCAAATCTTTTGCGGAACTAAGAGTTGTGGAGCCCAGGGTTACCGTGGGGACCCCTGTTTCATTTTGCTATGTTTTGTTTTATTCTGTTTTGTCTTAGCCAGAATATATTAAAAGCTAACACAGTCTCATGTTTTCTCTTTATTGTTTCTGGGGAGAGGAAGAACTCATTAGGAAGACAAAATCTGGATGTAGTTCCTCAGAAAGGAAGTGTTGCTATTTAAAATAAGCCAGGAAAAGCAATTGTGAAGTGAACCCCTGAAGGAAGGAAGGGTGGTAGAGCTTCAGTGCCACATTATTGGATGCCTGAAAAAGAAGAACCATTTTAAAAGTCAAAATTTGGGATACTAGGATTACTTCGGATTTTCAATCTGAACATGAGTTCTGAGACATACATAGGTGACATAAGCTGAGTTATCTGTATTACAATGGTCAGATGCACGGAAAACTCTCTTATAAACTGTTCTCTCCAGAGGAATTTGAGAGGCACAGGAAGTGATGGATTACAGCAGTAGGAAGTTGAGTTTGCTCCCGAAGAGTAACTGGAAGCAGTAGCGGGTGTGGGTGATCACCAGCAAGCTGTGCTCTGGCTGGTTTTCAGCCTTCTCAGGCTCTGAGGAATCCCTTATCACCATCCATGTTGTTGAAGACTGGAGGCTTTAGGCTTAATCTTTATTTCCTTTGCATAGGGCTGGTGTGCAGCTTTGATGGGTTTAGCAGAAGCAAGCAAAAGCCTCTGATATTCCTTTCCTCTCAGCAAGCAGACCAGGCAGCAGTGTAGTCAAGAATCCAGGAACCAGATGGCTGATGTTTTGAGAATGAAATATGGCAAGTAAAATTAGATTAAGCGTGTCACAGCCTAGATGCCAGCCATTAAAGACAGACTTCTGCCCCGTCCTTTCGGGGAGCAGCCAATTCCAGGCTGTTGCGCCCCTATGCAGGGCCCCTAGGCTGGGGAGCTGTCCTGTGGTCAGCAGAGTGGAGCCCCAGGTACTTGGCTGTTACCTAAGGCTGTGCATGTCCGTGTTCCTTCTACTTTGTGGTGAACCCACTGGAGCCTCTCAGCATCAATATTTCACGCTTTCTTCCTTCTACCTCACTGTCCGTGATTGATTACTCTCTTCAAAGCAAGTCTGGTTTAATTCGCACTTTTTCTAAACTTGTGGAATAATCAAAGCATAGACTTAGCATGTGACGGAGCAGAAAGAAGGCCTCTTTTGAATTCAGACCTGGGTTTGAGTTCTCACTCTCCCATTTACGGCTTGTGTAACCTTGTCCCTTTTATCATAGTTGCATCTTCTCTTGATCCCCCCGCCACATCCATCACCCCTGCTGGTGTACTAATAGAGGATATCACCCCTGTGCGCTGGATCTTTGTCTTCAGCCTCGCCTCTTACACCAAGGGTGTATGGCTTAATCCAGTTCCCACCACTCATGCATTAGTCAAGCATCCATAAGTGCTGTAGTGAAAAGTGGATTCATAGGCTAACCTGATCCTAAGAGGCCAACAGTCTTCCTACTCCTTAACATAAAGCTGACATTCTTCTCTGGAGTGTCAGTTATTCCTTTGTAAATTATCACTTGGGCCATTTCTAGGGTTCCAGTGCTAGGCTCTGCCCTAGGCACTAAGCCTTAGTAAATAATTGTTGGAGGGTGAGACAGGCACACTAGGAATCAAGTGCCAATTATAGGTCAGGTACTCTGTTAGGTGCTAGATGTGCAAGCTTAGGCATAGGACTTTAGTGGTGACCTAGAATGCTTCTTGGAGCAAGTGTCATTTCAGCTGAAGTCTGAGGATGAGTAGGAGTTCTGCAGGTGAAAAGGGAAGTTGCAGCACAAAGCCCCTCCCAACTCTGGACTGTTCTCTTGTACAACTCGATTGCCACGTATGCTGGCCTCCGCATACATCACTGTCAGATTTTTCTCCTAGCACTTTATCTATTTCCTATTACCCTTCTGTTTATTCCTCATTCCCTATATCTTCCCAATAAAGGACGAACTGAACTAATTTGTTGACATATTTCATTTAAATTACTTGCTTTGCATTTCACAGCAAGCTTTCCTAGTTTCCCTTCCCAGCCATCTTTAGTGGGCACTCTTGGTGCTGCATCCGTAGCCCTTGAAGCTCACCATCCCTTTAAGGCCAGAGGCTTTCTGCACATGGGTATGACTCCATGCTCGAGGGTTTTCGCTGGGGAGTTAATGTTCCATACCCAACCAATGGCTGCCAGCAAATGGTGGACTCATAACCAGCACAAATGTCCTTGGGTGGGACAGCTCTGGGGCAGGTCCCAGATGGTTTCCAGAACCCCTAGAAAATTTGAAGCCACTGCCCTTAATGGTAATCTGCTTATTCACATACCCTGAGTTGCGTCCTTCCCTTCTCTGTCTGTGTACCCCGCTCCTTCCTGTACTTCCTGGCATTACTTCCCAAATGAGCTACGTGAAGTCAAACCCTCAGTCTGCGCTTTTGAAGATCTCAAGTTTGGATAAACTCTAAACTCTCCTTATTCCTTGGATTTTAGCTCATTGGTGAAAATTTAAAGTAGCACTGAAATGAAAAGCTTTTCATAAAAGGAAAATACGCAGATTTAATGGGCAAAGGAGAGGAACAGAAACGAGACAGTTGATTCCCCACTGCTGTGCTAGGTTTTCGCCCTGGTGACAGAATGCCTGAGAAAAACAGCTGCGAGGAGGAAAGACTTACTTTGGCTCGTGGTTCAGTCTGTGGCCGGCCGGCCCCGTTGCTTTAGGTCTGTGGCAAAGGGAAACATCATGGCAGAGGAGAGCTGCTCAGCACCTGGCAGTCAGGAAGCAGAGAGGGGAAAACATCCAAGAGGACGGGGCCAGGGAAAAGACAGTCAGTCCCCAGAGGTCCTGTCCTGTCCTGTTTCTCCAGGCCCCATGCCTAATGGCCCATTCAGCTGTGAACTCAGTGGATTAATCCGTTTATGGGTCTAACACTTTCATGATCTGATCAGTTCCCAAAGCCCATCAAGTAGACTTTGGGAATGGTTTAGATCCAAAGTATAACAGCTCCATTACTTGTCACTTAATCTTCCTTCGTGCATCATTTAATGCGCACGTCGTACAACTATGTGAGATAAATCTGTTTATCCTCAGTGCTGCAGACGGAAAACAGGCCCAGAGAGATTGAGTAGCTTGCTGCAGTTCCCAGAGTTGGGGGCAGCATAGCTGGGATTCCTATCAAAGCTGAGCTTGTTCCTCAGTTCAGTAGTTTTGAGACCTGCTGGGGGGGCTGCACACCTGGTATCAGGACAGTTTTAGAGATGATTGTAAATTTTCAACCTATTAGAGTCAAACTGTGTAAGGACTCTTTTTTTTTTTTTTTGTCAGCTCAAATGCTAGAATCTCACCTATAAATGCGAGAGGCAGCAGAAGTCAGAGAATTAACATTTAACGAGAAAAGGTTGAGAAAAGCCTGTCTTTCGACCTTTTTTCTGACTTGGTGGGCAGGCAGGAACTGGTTTGAGAACCTTTGTCCTCCATCCACATTGGCTGTGGAAGAACTAGGGGAGCAACATAAGGGCTGTTACACTGCGGAGCCGCGGCATAACCTCCAGCTACCTTCGCGGTTTGGGGCCCAAGGTCCGCGTGGATAAACTGCCTTCATTCTACTCATACCTTTCATGGCCTCAGTCAGTCCTTTAATTGTGTTCCCTGAAGAGGAGACAGGCATTTATTGAGCAACTGCTTATCTCCTGCTCATTCCTCAGCAGAGGGCACTGCATGCTCTGTAAATACATAAATGGATGACTGGATTAGACTTTGTGCTAGTTCCTCAGAGTACAAAGAATGTTAAAAAATATGAGGTTCTTGTTCCTAAGAACTTGTGGACTAGTGGGGACCTGGAGAGAGGATCAAGGAGGTAGTGAGATCGTAGTACAAAAGAGCCTTGTCCATGATGACCTCAGGGGACACATTCTGTAGGAGTTGGGGCTTTAATAGCAATTTGAGTTAAAATAAAGAGCAGCCCTGGGAAGGACAGAGCACAGAAGAAGCATTGAGATGGGACACAGAATGACTCATTCTAAGAATTACAGAAAGCCTCAAATGGCTGGACACATTTCTAGATAAGGACCCCAGAAAAAATGAGTTGAGTCCTGGCATGAAAGCTTTGAACTCCATACTGAGCAGCGTGGACTTTAGCTAAATATTTAGGGGCTCATTTTGAAGGTTCTGATTTGGAGGGAAGGGTGTACTTGTCTCAGGAAGACGGTAGGGATACTGTTGGGGGCAGCAGGTATGGTGTTTGTCACTCTCCTGATGCTATGCATTATGCCTTTGGTCTCCTGCACAGTATCTGGAATGTTATAGATGGTCTGTAGATACTGGTGTTTTTAAAGTGGATTTGAGGGGAAAGGATATCACTAGAACTTAGAAAGTCAGCTAGGGGCAGAAAGACAGGAAAAGCAGGTTCTGAACTCATCAACCACTCTAGTATTTCTCTGGTGCCTACCCATTTACTTTGGCCATTTTATATTATCCTGATCTTGTGGGGGTTTTTGGTATATTCATAGGTAAGAGATTGATACTTGTTGAACAGCTACTTAAGACTTGCTATTCTAAGACTAAGAAAACTGGTCTTCATGTATCCACCTTTCTCCCCCTCCAGTCTGTTCTGAATGCAATTGCCAGAGTGATCATTTTAAAACTTTAGTGCAATTCTATCACTTTGCTCAGAATCTCCTGTAGTTGAAGTGGGAGCCCAGGTCAAAGACCTTATCATGACACAGGAAGCCTGCATGACCCTGCTGCATTTGCCTTCCTCTGCTCCTCAGTGCTAGCCTCCTTGCCGTTCCTCCAAGCAGATATGCTGTGCCCTGCACCTAGAGCACCCTCTGTGTACTCCCAGCTCACTCCCTTACTGGCTTCAAGCCTCTGCTTAGTGATCACTGTCTCAGTAAAGCCTCCCTGACCACTGTTCAGACGTGGTTACCTGTCCCTGAACTCTCCATTCTCTCCCTTACCTTGCTAAATTTTTCTGCATAACACTCGTCCTTTTCACATAACGTGCCTGTTCCTCGTGTGTGATTGTCCGTCCTCCCTCACTGGAACGTATGCCCCATGAAGGTGAAATATATTTGTCTGTCTTAATTTTGTTTGCTGCTCTTTCCTGGATACCTGAAACAATACTACAGGGCACTGACCTAGGGGCTTAGTAGATATTTGTGGAATTAACTCACTGCACCCTTCTGGTACTGCTCCGTGAGGTGCACGGACTGCAGTGCGCTTTCTGTGCCCCTGAAAGGAGAGGGAGGAAGGCTGCGAGCCCACACCAGACAGAAACAAGGCCTTCCCTGTGACCCAAAGTATCACAGTATCCTCATGGGCTGGGAGCTTGCTCTCTGGCCCCATTGATGTCCCCCCTCAGCTGGCCGGTTTTGAAGGGAAGAACGATAGGGAAAGTATTCTTGATTTTCTCTCTTCTTGTTGTTAAGAAAATGAGGGACTCCTTCAGGGTCTGTGAACAGTGGCAAAGTAAACGTGCCAATAAGGAATTCAGTTAGTCTTAATCCCCTTTTAGGCTAAATGTTGTGTACCCTTTTACATGCTTGGGAAGACTCAGTAGGCCTGACAGGAAGATCAGTGATGGGAAATTTTTGTCTCTTCATAGGTGTTTCCTGGGACTCCCTCCCGGATGAGCTTCTCCTGGGGATCTTTTCCTGTCTGTGCCTCCCCGAGTTGCTGAGAGTCTCCAGTGTCTGTAGGAGATGGTACTGCCTGGCGTAAGTACTTTTCACCCCTTTGGGCATATGTGGCGGTGGGGGGAAGGTTGTGTATTCATTATGGTATTCACTATGGTAAAGCTTAAAAAACACACATATAGATGTATATAGCAGTCCTAAGCGAGCCAGCTATGTTCCTTAATCAGTATCTTCGTTTCACAGCAGAAGAGAGGAGTCTCCTGGAGGTATGAACTCACCCCATTTCTGACTCCCTCTTGGCCCCCATTCAGTTCAGCACCTGTTTGGGCCAGGCACTGTGCTCAGCGAAGGGAGTTCTAGGTGGGTGTGAAGACAGCTGTGCCCCGCTGGAGCCCAGCAGGAGAGAAGATGGGGCTCTGGTCTCAGACCCTTGGGTGGGCTCAGCCTCTGCCACATGTGCTGTGCGTGACCTGAGCAGATTTTGTGACACGTCTGAGCCTCAGTCACGTTGTTTGTGAAACACACATAACGGCGCCTTCCGTGCAGGGCGGTGATAGGGATGTAGTGTAAGGTGCTGGCGTGGTGTCTGAGTCACAGCACGGTGAGCACAAGGAAGCCTTGTAGGTGTTTCTTGCTAGTTTTTGGTAGCACGTTTTAGGTGTGGATGGTGAGCCGGGAAGGTAGTAGCAAGCCTGATACAAGAAAAGAAAATCTTTTTTTTCTTTTTCGGTGGTACTAAGGATGGAGCCCAGGGCCTGGTATGTGCTAGGTACACCTACAGCCACGCCCACAGCCCCCAAACTCTGCCTTTAAATTGGAAGTTTTTCCCAGCTCCCCCTCCTTGTCAGCTCTGCTCTATACCCTGGTCATTTTTGCCTTCATTTGGAGACCTTCTTTCTGACTTCTCACTCCACGAATCCGGATGTACTTGAGACCAAAGGAGTCCCTTGCCGTGAAGGCTGTCCTGGAAATAAGGCAGTGTAGGGGTATGCAGGAGTTTTGCTTAGAAGACAGAAGTGGTAGCTGAGTTGTCCTTATTGCCACCCAAGAAACCCCAGTTTTTTTTTTTTTTTTCCATCAGCTGTGTGTTTGAGGAGTCTGTTTACTTTTTTTTTTTTTTTTAAAGTGTTACTTATATTTAAGGAATGCATGATATTTTAATGTACATACAGCGAAATGTTTACCAAAGCATATTAACATACCCACCATTTCACAGAGCTGCCCTTTTTGGCTAGACAAACATAAAATACATTCTTTTAACAAAAATTCCTAATACAATGCAATATCCTTAGTTAATAGTCCTCATATAATACAGTAGATAAGAAGACTTGTTAATCCTGTATATCTGCTGTTTTGTGTCCTTTGACCTACGTCTCCTGACCAAGTCCATTACTTTTTAGTTGCCATAAATGTCAGTTATAACCATGTGCCAGTCACTGTGTTATCGCTTCAATGTTCCATGGGTCCTAAGTGATAATTGTATTGTATATAATTGTATGATTGTATTGTATAAATGTAATTGTATCACCTCATTTTCATAGATGAAGATATGGCAGAGGCAAGCCGTAAAGCAGAAATCTGAGGTCTGGCTAGCTCCACAGTTTAACCATAACTAGTTATGTATAGCTGAGGATTCATATTGCTCCTGAATACATCTTCCCATGTATGCTAAAGATACATATTTCACCACTTTCCCCAGATTGTTCTAGTATGCAGGGTAAGCTGCTGTTTGCTTCCTTAAAAGGATTAAGTAAGGGATGGGATTTGAGATAACCAGAGCATGAGCTGGTGTAATTTTCTCAGAAGTGGATCTTAGTCTGGGAAAGAAACTACAAAAATGCAGTCTCTTGAGGATGTCTTATGCACAGTCAACCTTTTTGTAATAGGGGTCAAATCACACACTGATAAATACTCTTTAACAAAATCATTTCAAAACCCTGGTCACTTATTTTAAGCGTTAAAAGAAAGGAAATTCTAATACATCTAAACGTTGGGAATTTCCCTCATGTGCTTGTACTGCACATTTCTTTTGTTCAGTTGCATTCAGCTGTGGATATTAAAAGTCCCTTACTATGCTGCTCCGTACGTTTTTAGAACTTGCCTTTTACTTTAGAAACACTGTCTATAATGTAATGAGTTTTCCCGGTTCCCTTCACATTAATTCATGCACACATACATACACACACATACACAAATACATGCATAAGGATGTGATTTAAGGTACTACACTGTGATTTACACTGTCACTCAGTTTTCCTAGGAGATGTCTTTGACAGATATATCCTGTAATAGTACTAAATTTTCTTCCTTCAGTTATATTTACATGATATTTTTGGTAATTGAGACCTGTCCATGCTTAAGAAAAATGGTAAGTAGGATTATTTAAGGAAGTTTTGAACCCTCTCACCTAGTAATAATTAATTAAGCAATTTCAATAACCAATTTTGAACTTGTTGTGTTAATTTCTGGAATTTTATTCTCCAGTTCTGGATCATTAGCCGTCCTATTTATAGTATTGAACCATCTAAATTGGAAATATGTAGAAAGATGGATGCTTATCCGTGTTATGATCAAGCAATAGTAGGAGCATGGTTGATTAAACAGTCTACCTGAAAATGAGAGTTTCCTTGAATTTGCTTCAAGGAGATTAAGCAGCTATGCCTTCTTTTCAGTAATGATCTTGAAGACCTCCAGCACTCACTGTAACTGACTTACCAGGTTCAGCCTCTCTTCTCTTCTAGGTTTGATGAGTCTCTTTGGCAGACTCTAGACCTCTCAGGTAGAAATCTACACCCAGATGTGATTGGTCGCTTGCTGTCTCGAGGCGTGGTTGCCTTCCGCTGCTCACGATCCTTCATGGACCAACCACTGGTTGAACATTTCAGGTACAAAGGAAAAATCCTTAGAAAAGACTTTATTTAAACCTTGAGACAGAAACAGATCAAAACTCCTTTTATTCGTGATGTAACCTTATAGTCTGAGGCAGGTCATCTATACAGTGTGGGATGTTAATTGCACATTGCGCCATTTCGCCCTTGGGTTGAACGTGGCACAGTTTTTAATCCCACTGTTCTCATTGTATTTCAGGATTGCTGTTGGGCTCTTCTCCAGCTCAAATTTGTTCACCTGGGGGATGGAGGTGTGGCTCAGTGTTAGAGCACTTGCCTGGCATGCACGAGACCTTTATTTTTTTTTAATCTTTATTTTTTTTTATTTTGATTTTTTTGCCATACTGAGGATCGAACTCATGACCTTGCGCTTGCCAGGCAGGCGCTCGTGCCACTGAGCTATATCCCCAGCCCCAAAACCTTTAGTTCAAGCTCTAACACTGCCCCCCTCCCCACAATGTTCATTTAGCTCCTTGGGTTGGGTCCTCAGCAAATGGGAATTGTGAATCATACAAAGCTAAGCAGGCAGAACACTCACCAGCAATGAGGGCTGTCTAGTTCTTTTCCTTGCTGCCCATTTCTAAGAAATAGAAAATGGAAGGTGTGTAGCTTGGGCTTTCTGTCCTATCATGGACAGAACTGAAACCTGGGGAAAAAAAGCTTTCTTTTTGTTTGTTTGATAGAATATTTTGAAAACTATTTTTCTGGTGCTGATAATTATATAGTATTAAGATTTAGTCCTAGATCATGCTTGAATAGAATAACTAAATACTGAAAAGAAAAACAAGCTGAAGACAGCAGAGCTAAGGGTAAAACCTCTCTCTCCTCTAGGACTTTTTCCCATCTTTTTATTTTTATCATCAGAACCTGCTGCTGCCCTGTTTTTGTCTACTGCCAAGGCTGGTCCCTCTTAGTCTCCTTTACACATGTGATTTCTTTTGTTCATACCAACATTTGTTCCTCTCTGCTTTTCTCTTTAATCCACACACTTGTTGGACAAACTGTGTCACGTACACGCACCTTTTTGCCTCGGACTCTCCTGTCCTTACGTGTAGCTCAGTCTTCTCTTTCACACTCATATTCCTAATTGCCTAAAAAATTACACCTGGATTTTGTTCACTACATCAGTGTTATCCTATCTAAAATGAAAACTTAGTTTCCCTTTAAACCTTGCTCCTCCACTGGCTCCCTATTTTAGTAAACACCGCTGCTGCACACCCACTCTCCTTCAACGGAAACTTGGAGTCAGTATAGGCTGCATCTCCTCCTATGTACATCCAGCACCTCTTGAGTTTTAAAAACCACTGGGAATAGGAATGGAAATTAATTAGTAGCAATGTGTTTCATGACCAGAACTATGTTCAGTATTTGGCATGTGTATTTAAGGTCTTATTTGTGATCGCCGCTCATTTGAGACGTAGTAGTCAGCTTTGATTGGGACGTGCTTGGGTGAGGCACCTCACAGAGCCTTTCTTTTCTGTGCACAGCCCTTTCCGCGTACAGCACATGGACCTGTCAAACTCTGTTATAAATGTGAATACCCTCCACGGCATTCTGGCTCATTGCGCCAAGCTGCAGAATCTAAGCCTGGAAGGCCTACAGCTTTCAGATCCCATTGTCAAGTGAGTAGCAGCCAGCGTGTGTTACAAAGGCGGCTGTCAGGCGTGTTAGTTTTGTTCTGTGTGGCTGGGGTGCCATTCTATCCGTGTCCAGATAGACAAAGAAAATATCTCATGCAGGGTTCCAGCTTCTGCAAAACTCTCCAGGATTCATCTCGAGGCAGCAAACATTTGAGTGCTAGCCATATGCCCGGCCCTGTGCTAGGTACTAGAAATGAAAAGATGATCGGTGCGCAGTCTGTGCCTTATTCATGGGTGAGGTAGATAATTATAGTGCCATATGTCTGTAAAATGCACTGGTGATTACGTGGCAACACATGGGGAGGTCTAATTAAATTATGGAGGGCAGCCTCAGAGGAAGTGACTCATAAGTTGGGTATTTAAAAACAGTCAGATAGGAGATCTGTGAGTGACAGGTCAAAGAAAACAGCCTAGGTAAAGCTGTTTGTTTGGTTCTAAACTCTTAAGTAACTAAGGTTGCTGATGCATGAGACTTGGGAAAGGAAGAGACAAGAAGAAGGTCACATGGGCTACTGTGCCGGGCTGTAAAAAGTCCAGACTCTGATAAACTGCGAAGCAAGATAAAAAGAGGGGCTCTTAGAAGAGATGAGACATGGCAGGGTTGAAATTTAGAAAATCAGCTTGCCAGGCACCATGGGGACGGAGGTCAAAGTAATGACAGAATGTCATTCCTAGTTAAGGTTCCTAGTTAGGAACACTGATGTGCTCACTCGGGTGATTAAAGATGAAACCTGATATAAGAATAGCACCTTTGTTGAGCAACTGTGATGTGCCATACATTAAGTTCTTTAAATGTATTTAATTCTGACAGCAGCCCCTTTTTATACATGTGAAAAGTGATGCATGGGGTGGCTGAATAACTTGTCCAACTTGTCCAAAGTCACACAGGTGGCCAAACCAAGATTTGCATGGCATTACAGCATGTTTCCAGAACTCCCGAATAATGGCTCTTAATCACTAAGTTTCCCTACATAGGATAGTTAGGATAGTAGAGGAGACAGCACATGTAAGAAATGTATAATGGAATAAGCCTCATAACTTCACAAATAGAAGTTCATCTAAAAGCTAATTCTAATTATGGATAAAAGAGATATATGTTTATCTCATTGATTTTACTTTTAATTTAAAAAGTACATTGATCAGTGTTTCTTGTGCTAGATTATGCTATATCCTTTATTACATTGTATGCTTTAATATTAACATCCCCACCAAGAAGATATTTCTCTTGCCATTTTATAGATGAGTTAACTGAAATACCCTGTTTGGTGTCACAGAAATAGTGTAATGTGAATTTTAAACTCGCTTCTAACTCAAAAGGCCTTTTAATTACAGTGACAGCCTGCTTTCCTCCAAATCCTATTGATTGAATGAGAGTGCTTATTTGTATTCCTGTGGCATTTTTTTTCTAGTAATCTTGCACAGAACTCAAATTTAGTGCGACTAAACCTTTGTGGGTGTTCTGGATTTTCGGAATCTGCCCTGAAGACTTTGCTAAGCAGCTGTTCCAGGTAGGAAAGATTCAAGACTTCATTATAAAGCTCTTGAATCAAATACAGTGATCCCTCCCATCCAAACAAAATTGGATCAACTATTGAGATATTCCTAACTCACTACTTTCTTGACTTGGATAATGCACTATCCTTTATCCTAGAAACTTTCTGGCTAAATTCTGGACACAAATCAATTACATTTGTAATGAAGGGATATTTGAATAATGTTCCCTTTTTTTCTTTTTATTTATTACTATTAAAGTGAGAAAAATGTAGTAGTGTGTTTATCATAGTGTGATCGAAGGAAATCTGATTCTAAAGTCAGGTTTTATTCCCCCTACTATATTTCTATACCTACTTTGTAGTTTTTGATCACATATGGTACATTATATCATAATAAATATTGGTTATTGCATTAACATCTTTGTTATTATGAAGTGTCAGTGCATAAAGGATACAGAGGTACAGAATAGCAATGTTCTGTACATAAAGTGGAAAGGAGTCTCTGGTTTTGTATTTTGTGTACAACTGAAGGCAAGTTCATTCCAGTTGATGGGTTCATTTTTCCCTATTGCCTCTCGTTCTTGCAGACTGGATGAGCTGAACCTGTCCTGGTGTTTTGATTTCACTGAGAAGCATGTGCAAGTGGCTGTCACACATGTGTCAGAAACAATCACCCAGCTAAATCTCAGTGGCTATAGGAAGAATCTCCAGAAGTCAGGTGAGAGTTTCCAGGCCAGAGCTGTGGAGGCTTTAGCAGTAATAACATTTCATTTATTGAGCATCTTTTAAGTTCTCATCAGTATCAATTGTCTCCTTTAGTCCAGTGCATGTATTATTTCATACGGGGAACTGCTGATCAGAAGAGTTAGGTAAAAGTGAACAATTAGTGACCTAGAGGCAAGATTTGAGTCTACACTAAACTAGACTAGACTAAAAGGTGAAAATTTTACACTCTAAATGATTTATTTGTAGACATTTGTAGACAGAAGTACTTTTATTTATTTATTTAATTTTTTGTACTGGGAATAGACCTTGCACTTGCCAGACGGGCAGTTGTGCCACTGAGCTATATCCCCAGCCCCAGAACTACGTTTAATCAACTAATTATTAGTCAAAACTTTAATTTTTTTTTTTTAAAAAAAGCTGGCCTTCTGAAGCCATGGGTTCTGTATGCATGAATTCAGCCAACAGTGGATCAGAACTATTCTGGAAGAAAAACTGAACATGTACAGACTTTTTTTCTTGTCGTTATCCCCAAACAATATAGTGTCATGACTATTTACACAGCATTTATATTGTATTAATTGTTACAAGTAATCTAGAGATGATTTAAAGGACACCGGAGGGTGTGCACAGATTTTATGCCAATTCTACACAGTTTTATATTAGGTGTTAAGTATCTTTGGGTTTGGGTATCTAAGGGGTGTTCTGCAGCCAGTTCTGCTTGATACTGAAGGGTGATTTTGTTTGATTAGGATTAATCAGTATTCTCCAATAGAGGTAGTTTTTGTCAAGGTGGCATTTGACAGCATTGGGAGACATTTTGGATTATTACAGTTAGAGGGGTGGTACTGGTACCTAAAAGAATGGTGCTGAAGAAGTCACAGAGCGTCAGAACCAAGCGCGCACGCGCGCACGCACACACACACACACACACACAATCTAGTCCAAAGTGTTATAAACCCTGCTCATAGATTTACAAACATTTATATATATCCATGTATCTTTATGTATAATATATATCTATATAGGTATACAAAGAGCCATGGTATTGTTTAAATGAACACAGGCATCTGAAATAGGGATGTGGACAGCAGATACAGTCTTTATAAACCTCAGCATTTGGCTCTGCTTCGTTTTGTGTGTATAATGTTGAGAGAACCTTGATGTGCAGACATTAATGGTTGCAAATGGAAAGACTTTAACAGTTTCATGTTGTGGTTTCAAGTAATATTCTGTCGGGGGTGCACAAAGCCTCATCTAGTGATGCGTAGCAAGCATGTCTCAATGTCTTAGTGGTACTAGCTCATTTGAGTGTATGTATTGATAAAGTTTTTATTGTGCTTTGAAAGATAGGACTCATGCATTTGTAAGTACTTCTTAAAATTTAGTATTTGAAAACTACATCTCCAGGGCATGATATATTATTCCCTAATACATAAGATAATATCAGGCTGTAGAAAATAGTAACTACAATTTCATGATGGCCAGAGATTTAAGTTTGTTGCCTTTGCAAGGGCACAAGTTTGAATGCTGCCATTCCCAATGCCTGCTTTATCAAAGGGAGCTTTTTCTTTAGAGGCCTGTAAAAGCTGCAATCGTATGTTGGTTTCTTTCCTTGTCCTCTCTGCATAGTATTTCTAGTCTACATTTTTTCCTTTTATATGCACTACTTTAAGACTGATCATAGTATTACACACCCTCAAAAACATGCAGAGTATTTTTTAAATAATGGAAAACAAATCACCAGTCTAATAAATCATGCCAGTCTTTTTCCAATACAAGTTTTTTTAAAGTGGGACATAGTATGTGGAATGCGACTTTATAATAGCTTGTTATCTCCTCAGAGAACCCCATTTTCAGTAGCTGTCCCATCATCATCAGGTATGTGATATTCCATCAAATAGATATGGAATAAATATATTAAATCAGTAATTTATGCAACTGATTTCTTTCCGATAGGCAGTTATACCCTCAAACATTAGTAAAATTTGGTGGTTTTACTTTGTTTCCTTTTGTTTTGGTTTTGGTTTTTCTTACTATGTAGTTCAGCCTGGCCTTTCAGTCACTACCATATGTAGCCCAGACTGGTCTTGAACTCAAGTAATCCTCCTGCCTCAGCCTCCTGAGTACATAGGCATGCACTATGACCACCACAGCAAGCTGAAATTTGTTGTTTAAAATAAATTATTCTGTTTATTGTTATTTTTGTTTTTTTTCCGGTACTGGGAATCAAACTCACAACCTCGTGTTTGCCAGGCAGGCGCTGTGCCGCTGAGCTAAATCCCCAGCCCCAATTATTCTGTTTAAAAGTAGCTCAGTCAATATATCTTTCTCCCAAATTCTGAAGTTATTTAGAATTTCCAGTATCTTTGCTAACAGCAGTCATATTTTGGTGTATTTCCTTTCAGACTTTTTATTTCTTTCTGTCAATCTGTATGTAAATGTGAGTTTGTGTATATTTTGATTAAATTGAGATTATAGTGCACTGCATGCATTTCATATTATTTTGTTTTCAGTATACGGTGTCTCCTAAACATAGGACCTCATGCATGCTAGGCAGACACTGTAGCACTAAGCTATGCCTCCTTTGAAAACCTACTTAATATCAGCTATTAGCACTGTAATTCATGGAGTGAGTGAAGGCTAACAAATTTAACTAGAGGATAGACTACTTATAACTATTGTTACTGTGGATATGTTCATGCACATCTGTATTTTTCTGTAAGTGGAATTATTGGACTAAAGGGCCCAGTGTGTAATGCTTGGAATATTTTTTTAAAAACTCAACACGCTATCCAAAAAAAAAAAAATCACATTCAACCTCTAAAAGGCTGCACATAAGATTAAATACCCACTTCTGATGTATGGTGGGTGGACCTGCTTTACTGTGTTTCATCTGTTTAGGGTGTTAGAGTATACTTCTTTGCATTTCATAGCTGGGAAGCAGTATTTCTAATTTCACTTAGTATCTCTTACTCCATTTTTATTGTATTTTCTAAATTATCTGTTCATGTTCATTAGGTTTCTCTATTGTTTATCTTTGTCCACGATATAGTAAGATTATTGAGTCTAATTTATAAGGAAAACAATTACCAGTTAATTTTGTAATTGTTCTGTTTTAACATGATAGATGTTTTTCAAACTTTCATATAATAGTTTATAAATGTTCTTTATGCATGTTTGTTTAGATACCTATCCCAAGATTCAGTAAATAATTGCCTGAATGTTTACACTTAGAACTTTTTAAGATATATGAAATTTGTTGGGATATATTAGAGTTGAAGAAATATTTTTTCTAGTTGTGATAGCAACATTGTTTTTTAATAGACCTAAAATTCCCTGTTGGAGTACACAATGTTAAAGGATAGTAGTGATGGCAAATGTTCTTGTCCTATTCCTCATTTAATAGTGACCACCATATTTGCTTGTTTTTCCTAGATGTCTGTACCTTAATTAGAAGATGCCCCAACCTTGTCCATCTAGATTTAAGGTATTTTTTTTATTTGTTTTAGATCAAAAGTTGAAAAATCTTGATTGCTCATTAAATGGTGAAAGTATCTTAATACTGAATTGAAGAGACTAAGCAGTAGTATTCCAGTGGGTAGTTTTGAGGATGTCTTCTTCTGCTCTGTTACAGTGATAGTATCATGCTGAAGAACGACTGCTTTCCAGAATTTTTCCAGCTCAACTACCTCCAACACTTATCACTCAGTCGGTGCTACGATATAATACCTGAAACGCTACTGTAAGTGTGTTGTGCTTTTAATGCTAGTAGAAGACGGGGACCAAAAGACGTGCCAGCTGATGTCAAAATGTATTATTAGTAGCAGACTTTGAGAGCGTATATATATTATTAATCTTATATATTAGTCTTAATCAAAAACGGGTTAGGAAAGACCAGCAAGAGAGAAAAAGTAGGACAGAGTTTTTTGCTTACAATGTCTGCTAAAAGTGAGTTAACTGATTGCTCGTTACATATTTTTACTCCACGGTCCATATTTTTAAAGTAGTGGACTGGGCTAGCATCTGTGAAACACTTCCAAAAGAAGTACAAGATAGCTTTGAGGACACTCTGTATAATCAGGAAGTGATTATTGTTTTATTTTGTTTTTAAAATTTTCCAAATCAGCTCTAGTTGATTCCAAAAGTGTTTATCTGGGCTTACAGGAAAAGTTCTGTACTCTAGTGATGTATGTCCTGATTGCTCAAGAACAGTGAAGAATCAAAACACACAGGTGGTACATATTATAAGAGTCAAATACTCTCTGAATAGGAGATATTAAGGTCCAGTAAAGTGAAGTGGCGTGTCCCAGACAGGATGGTGCATTACTGGCCAACCTAACTCTAGGTTAGGCTTTCCTGGACAGGGTAGTATACGCTGTAGCCAATCGCATGGTTCATCTGAGGGTTCATTTTACCTGCTAAGCAACTTCCACAGGATTGAAGGAGCACAAAGGAAAAAAAAGTCTAACCCATTTTTTTATAAGAAGTGCTTTGCTTAAGGTATCCTGGGAATAATATCATCTCTTTATTTTTTTAAAATGTTTCTTTTACTTCACACCAAAGGGCCATACCAGTCTTCCTACTGCTAAATGTTAGTCTGGGGGCTGGGGATTTAGCTCAGCGGCACAAGCGCCTGCCTGGCAAGCGCAAGGTCGTGAGTTCGGTTCCCGGTACCGGAGAAAAACAAAAAAAAACAAACAAACATAAATGTTAGTCTGTAGCAATTTCATGGAAAACCACAAGAGGTCAGTATTTTGCACTCAGGCGGGTGCCCTTTTTCATAATGGCCAGTGTGTTGGGAAGGAAGCTGCCATACTCACTTAGCTCAATATCTAAATGCCAGTGATTTAATTTCAGCTTCTCATCTAAGAAGGGTGGTGAATTTGAACAAAGAATTTATTTAGTTCCCAAGTTAATGAATTGGGTCTTATGAATTAGTTTCAAGAATTAATAAATAAAGCAGATACTTCAGCTTGTATACAAGTTTAACTAGCAGAACTGGGGATCTGGTCATTACATGATTAAATTAATCATTTTAAACTCAGGGCTCAGGGCGTGAGCTAATATCCTGTTTGGAAAAGCCCTGCCTAAACAGGACACTAGTGTTTACTTGTGTGGCTTTCAAATGTTGGGATCTAAATTGATACATATGGAACTCTTATTAAGGTTCCTGCCCTTCTGTTTTCTAGCATCCAGAACTCCTAGGACCCTCTAGTATTGATCCACAAACATTTTTCTATCATCTGTCATTTCCTGTCTTTGCCATCTGGGCTTCTACTTTGCCTGGGCCATTTCTCAGGAAAGGTTGCGTCTGAATCACTTTTCCATTGCTGAGACACAGTACCTGACATTTACAACTTGAAGGAGGAAACGTTTCTTTTGTTTCACTTTTTAGTGCAGAGTTTGCAGACTCCAAGGCAGGAAGGCTGGCAGAAGGGTCCAGCAGTCAGGAAGCAGAATGAAGAGAAGAGCCAGGAAGGGAGACTTCTAGGTCATGCCCCCAGGAACTCTTCTCTTCCAGCATAGCCCCACCTTCTAACAGCAAGCCAGCTACGGCGCCCCGTAGTCCAGACACCTTCCAAACACATGAGGCTTTGGGGCTTGTTGAAATCTACACCAATCTGTTGATTGAGATAATTCTTTTCTAAAGAGATTATATCTAAGTGTCTTGCTTTTTCTTCTTCATGCAGAAAGAAGCTAAGTGGGTAATAACCCAAGTACTTTCCCTTAAGCTGAGATGAGGGGAAACTTTTGAGCTCTCACATTTTTATAATTTGCATCCAGTGGTATAATAGTAAAACCTGCATCCCTGCAGGAACTATGAAACTTAGAGTTAAGAGCTTGGGCCTGCAGTCACAGACCTAGGTATGAACTCTCTCTGCATTATTATTACGTATTTATCTAAATCTAATCTTGGAAGAAGACAGACAGGGGTGTCAAGGGCTTAAGTGTATTCCAGGTCAGCAGCAGTACAGAATGAGGAAAAGAAGAAAGATACTATCCTTGAACTTTTAAGGTAAAAGAATGTTTCTTTATGTACCATGTACATAGTATGCTTTACACTCTAAATCCTTTAAGGTAAACTTGTTGGTACCCTATCCTGGAGTTTCCCAAAATAAAATGTCTTTCGCTGTAATTTCAGTCATTCTGGCAGCTGTTGTACTTGAAATTCATAATAAAAGTCCCAGGATGTCTCATTTCTAGAGAGACGATTCACCTATGCTAAATAAGTGAAGGCTACTTATTTCTTATTTCTGAAACTGGAAGAGAAAATTTGAAGTCTTCTGTAATTAATAATCTTTTATAATACTTGAAAAACTGACCCAAGGTACCCTGCTGTATTTATTTCCTTATCTTTAATTGATCTTATTTTTTATGTATAAACTTAGTTCTGTTCATCTCCTGCTTCTTATTCAAGTGAGAAACCCAAGCCGAGAGAGTTTGCTGATCTAAGATTAGGAGACATAAATTTCTGTTAGGAGAATCTGTAGTTGAGACATTTCACATTTTATAAAGGAAAACTGTTATATAGATGAGGTAAGGAATAAACCTGTGCTTTTGCTGAATTAAACAAATATCAAGACATTATCAGAGAGAATGACTTAAATGCCTCATTTCTATTTACTGCCCCTTTGTTTGGTTTCCTTCTCTTCCACTGTAACGTCAAAGAGATTCTTACAGATTTGTTTGTCTGTGTTGTAGATAATGAACATAACAGGAGGCAGTTTTTTGTTTCCTTCCTAAAATTTTAAAGACTTTACATTCCTTTACATTTTCAAGCCTCTTACGTGTCTCCCGTCTCATACAGCTCTTGAGAGTGTGCTTTGACTTCCTTGCTTGCTCAAAGTTCTTTCCCAATGCTGCTGTAGGAACATTTCCTCCTTTGCCATCTGCCACCCTTCTTCCTTTTCTTACTACCACCTACAGTTTCTGCCTTTAAATATCCACTGCAGAATGACTCACAGTGTGTCTGCTTTGGATATCCCAGAATCAGAATTCTCAGTTATTACAAAGACTCATGTATAGGATTGTTAGCACCTTCAGTGATGATAAGTATAAACATCAGTGGATTGGAACCTTGCTTGTATGTTTCGTTACTATAGTCCATAAGTTACTTTGAGAATAGCAAATTGTTCTATTTGATTTTCTTTTGATACATTAGGCTCTCCAAATCTTGTCCCTTTTAAACAAGCATATTTATTTTACTTAATACCTCTACTGTCTAAATTTCCCTTCCATCTTTTATTCCACTAACGTACACTAAACATCTTTAGTGCTTAGGATATTTTGTGGAATATAGAAAAAATACATTTAGAAGAGAAATGGGAAATACATTTAGAATGGGAAAACTAGAAGAGCAAGTTAATCTTGGTAGGTCTTAAGGCCTACAAGGCTGTCTGGGTTCCCTAACACCCAGAAATCAGTTGTTTCAGAACAGGTGAGTGCTACAATCTGAGCAGTGCTTTAGGAGGATGCCTCAAACATTGGTGCATAGAATGGGCTGGAAGGAAGAAAGATGGGAGGATAAGTAACAGTCATAATAACACAAGTTTGACTAATGATGACAATGTAAAAAATAAAGGCTGCTTCTAACTCTACGTCATTGAGGTGTTCATTATTCTACAGTGGGGCTTTTTTGAAATTCCAAAATAAATGTTCCTTTTCCTGAGACTTTGTACTATTTCCCAACCTGGAGTAAATACAGATCAGAGACAAATGAATTTCTAGGCACATCTATCTGTATTAAGAAAAATCATTATCTAAACCAAACAGTATTTACTTTGGGTAAATAAGCTGTCTCTTTTGTGACAACTGTTGACACAGTTGTGTTTCACCTAATGTGAAAGACCTAAGAAAAGGACTGGCCTGCCTATGATGGGAAAAAATGGTAATATGTCAGAGGTAAAGGGCTGCTGCCTCCGCTATAAAGGGGTATAATCTGGCACCCCTCTCTCCATCTGCACCCAACTGCATAACTATCTACAGTATCTTCAGGAACTCGCTGGTATGGTTCATCACACACAATGGACTTGTGCATTGTGAACCCCACTACTAATGAACACCCATTACTAATAAGTCATCAGCTCTCCTGACAGCTCCTTTTTAGAGATGGAGCCAACTCCAACTAAAGGTCAGACCCACTCCTTAAATTTCATGTAACTTGTGGTAGTTCCAGTGGACGCTGCAGTAAGACTTTCACAATCACGAGGTTGCTAGCACACAGCACAGTAATCCCTTTCAGATCACTGTGTAAACCAGGAATGGAGAAAAGGAACAAATGCAATTGGATTTTATTCGTCCCCCTCAGAGAGCATTCAGAGGTTATTAGGGGCCTCATTCAACAAAATGCACGTATGTTTCCTTAGGCCTCAGACCGTATGGCTTGTGCTCCCAGCTTGGTTCACTTCTGCTACTCCTTCAAATAGGTTGCATTTTGTAGAGTGATACAAATTGTAACGATTTGGTCATATAACTTCAGAGTTTTCATACATGCCTCTCCTCTGAAAATCTTTTTCTTCCTTTCCAGTGAACTTGGAGAAATCCCTACACTGAAAACACTACAAGTTTTTGGAATCGTGCCAGACGGTACCCTTCAACTGTTAAGGGAAGCCCTTCCTCATCTGCAGATTAATTGCTCCTATTTCACCACCATTGCCAGGCCAACTGTTGGCAACAAAAAGAACCAGGAGATATGGGGCATCAAATGCCGCCTGACGCTGCAAAAGCCCAGTTGTCTATGAGGTACTTGCTGCAGGATAGTGTTTTCTCTCCCTTTGGAGTGGGGGAAGCAGGGAGGAAGCCCAACTGCTGGACACTTGGCTAGTTTTGTTACTGATTTCCCTGTAGCCTTTATCCTGCAAGTATTTTAGGGAAGCATTTAAGAGAAAAAACTATGAGGTGTTGCTTTTTAAAAATGACTTTAAAAGATTCTGTCAATGCTGGGCCCTTAAGAGTCTTTGGAGATTTTAGGAGAAGAAGCCTATAATTTCCAGATGACTTTTTAAAGATCAGAACTTGAACCACCTTTCAAGTGCCCTTTTGATTAAGTCTATTTCCAATCAAGCTTAAAAAATTACCACAGGCTCATAGTCGTCACAGCCTATGTGGTAACTTTTATGCATTTAATTTTCCAGTATTGTTTTTTAAGACACGGCTTATAAGAACATTAAGCTATGTTTGTGCTGTGAGCTTAACGGTCACAGAATAGTGTTTGAGGTAATCGTTTCTGGGGGTTAGTGCATTTCAGTTTTATCTTTATTTTTAAAATCAGTTTATCGGACAACCCCAAGTAATTCACCATAACCCCTCAATAAAAAGAAAGAAACAAAGGTGATTGGAGGTTTAAAATTGGTATAGGATTTGAAGGCTCAGGAGGCAATTTTCTATGCCAGGTTAATCTGAAGACTCCTTTAATGTTCATTAATGTACTGTGTTCTCAGAATTTCGAATTAGGTAAAGAAATTTTGTGGTTTTCTAACTTTATAATCGAATTATATTATTATGGGTTGTGTAGCTTTTTAAAATGGCTTGCTTTTAGAAAGGATATTATCGTAATCAGTTTATTATTGAAAAGTTGGATGAAGAATTCTGAACTGATACTGCCTGTTTTCCTTTAGTGCTGACGTTATTTTTATATTACTCTGGAATCAAGTATTTTAAATTGTCTGTTTTAATGGTCTCTCAGAATAACTGTTTGAAACTACCCACTTTATAAGGTTACTGGACCTACAAACAGCGTATTAAGTCTGAAATGCACTAGAAGCAGGTGTTCCCTGCAGTGCACTTGGCCACTACTTACATCTTATAGAGTTTAGTCACATTGAAACTTTTGATGGCACGAGTGATTTTTTTAGAAAACCTAGTACATAGAAGCAAAGAGTTAAATTTTTAAAAAATCACCAAAATATAAATAAATAAACCTAGTTCTAAGTTGATGACGTATTTTCACAACGCAACAAAAAAGCCAAAACCCATCATCTTTTCTACGAACCACTTAAGTTTACCCCGAGCATCACTCGGGCAGCATATATGTTTACATACCATCCCGAGTTTCACTCGAGCTGTATTGAATACCTATAAAATCGTCATTCTTTTATTTCCTGTTACATTATCTTATAAAATTAATGAAAAAATGCAATTTTTGGTCATCCTGTTTATAAATAATTGGACTGGTAATTGGTTTTCTTTTTTTAAATCAAAAATTTCACAGGTTAAAAATATGGTAACAGATGAAATGCCCTTATTTGCTCAGGCTTAAGGAAGAATACTTGGTGTTACACAGGAAATGATTATGCTTCATTTTCTTAGTTAAAACGTGCTAAATACTACTTGAAATTATGTTTACAGACCAGTGACAGGGCTGGGGGCAGGCTCCGATCGGACTCTGCTCTCCAGGCGCCTTCCTACATTCAGTGCCTGCACTTTCACACTCAGTTCCAACAGTAAGCTATTTTTCCAACATGTCAACAAAAATAATCTGTATTTTTGTATGTGATTTCTACTTTTATAGACTTGTTTTAAAATAAAAAACGTTTTTGTAAAAATGAGTACTTGAGCTAAGTTGTATCCCTTTTTTCCTTTAAGAATGTCATTAAAATTAGAAAGCCCCCTCTGGCTCAGTAGCCTCTAAAACCCTATAAAACAGCCCTAAACAACATGTCTACTTCACACGCTTGTCAGATTTAAATGGTAGTTTACAATGCATTTTTAAAAGGTGGTAAATATTGGCTTATTTTCTTTGAAGTGTTTCCAAATGCAATGGCATTTATAAAACATTTGAATTTGATTAATGGGATAGTGAAGTACTATCAATAAAATCCAACTAATAAACATTTTAAGTACAGACTGAGTTGGTTTACACTACATATTTTATTGTCATTTAAAAATGTTTTAATTAGTTGGGTTTTTTTGTTTTTTTTAATGCCTGGAGAACTTCTAGGAATTCAGTTCCTTTTGAAACCAGCCATCCATTCAAATGATGCCACAGTGATTCTTGAAGATCATCCAGTTTCAATGATCATTCTTTTACCTTATCTCTACTGTGGCTTTTTTTTTTTGAATGATGAAAATATGAAATATATGCAGTAAGTAAAGATTATGATAAACTCCCTCCACTTTTGACAACCATTAAGTCTGGCCCAGTATCACCATGATCTCAACCATTCTTTCCCCACCACACACCCACAACACATAGATCATTTCGAAATAGTACTCAGACCTGTAATGTCTAAGTGTTTGACTAAGTACCTCTAAAAGACCTAATTTTCCTGAATAAAATCTGAGTCTCAGAATATTAGGTAATGTTAAAGATTCCTTACATCTCTCCAGTGTTTTCAAACATAGGTTTGTTTTGATCAGGCTCTTAACCTGGTCTGCACATTGCATGTCAGTGATATCCTTAAAATTGATTCTTTATATCTCCTTTTTTTTCCTTCCTGTGTTCATTAATGAAACTAGATCATCTACCCTGTATTTGTAGAAGTTTTTGCTATTATCTCTGGAATGGTGCTTAACAGGTTAATCTGTCTCCTATTTTCATAAATTGGTGGTTAGATCTAGCTTGTCTAGATTTAGACAAAGGCTGATTTTTGCCCCCGAGGAGATACTTGGTAATATGAAGACATATTAAAAGGTATACAACATCAAGCTGGGCATGGTGGTGTGTGCTTGTCATCCTAGCACTCAAAGGCTGAGGCTGGATTTCTGTGAGTTAAGAGGCCAGCCTGGGCTACATAGTGAGCTCAAGGCCAGCCTGAATTACAGAGTCAACCTCTGTCTCAAAAAAACAAAAAGTAACAAGTATACATCAGTCTTTTTCATTTTACCCGGTAGATTCTTCATTCTCCTCTACCCTATGCATAAGTTCCAGAGATACGAAGGATACCCTAGCCTAAGGAAAAACATTTCTGGATAGGGTATGTATGTCCCTTCTGTCCTAGTGAAGTCAGGTGTAGTTCAACATTTCCAGTGGATCTACCATGTGGAAGATGCTGTGTTTGAAGCACAGCACACAGCAAGGTGCAGAATGTTCTGAAGAAATGGTATAACAGAAGGAAACTCCTTGTTACTGTGTATGTTAATCCCAGAAAAGCAGTTACCACTTTTTCCCTTCCCAAACCACATGTCCCACTCAGGAAGTTAAAAAGGTCTCTTCACCAAGAGGCTAACTCCAGGACACAGTTCAGAGTCCTACAAGCCTGTACTAAACATTTTATTGTTTTGTTTTACTTTAATGTTTTAGTGAATCTCTATATTAAAATGCTGGTATTTTTATATTTCTCAAAATGAGTGTCAAAATATTTGCTTTAGTTTTGAGCATTAAAATCAATATTTAAGGCATGTTCAGGATAATACTTAAAATATTTTCTATCTTTAGCACCTTTAGTGATTTTCTTAAAAATGCATAAGACTTAACTTTTCATACCTTCCTTAATGTACAAAATTTAATAAGCCTTCTCGCTGACTTATGCAGCCCACCCCTGGAATAGATGTGCTTAAAATCAAAAATAAACTGCATTTGAAAATGCAACTGTTCTTTAGAGCTGGGGATATAGTTCAGTGGCACAGGTGCCTGCCTGGCAAGCACAAAGTACCAAGTTCAATTCCCAGAAGCAAAAAAAAAAAAGTACATTTACTGTTATCCCCACACTACCACACATACATTTCATCACATTGTTGTTAATACTATCTGGTTGTTACATTATCTCTTTTTTTGTACAACTGTCTTGGTATAGATACTATCTTAAGTACCAGGATATACACATTGGCACAATGGAATGAAATTTTAGCGGTTTAAGTTCTACATTATTATTTTCACAGCTGAGCAACAGGTAATGTATTCTTAAATTTCTAACACCTTTTTCAACTCAAGTGAATATTTTACAATAAAATATTTGTATTAGCTGGCTCTATTCTTATTTAAAAAGTGCAATCTGTAAATTTTTTGTACATAAAAGCTATACATTTACTAAAACTTGTAATATGATTCAATATACTGGGGCCAATATTTAAATGGGACATAAGTATGTGACAATTATCTGAAGCATCTACATTTTCTGGGTAAGCGTTTCAATGAAATAATTGATCATCGCTCTGTCGAATATCACAATGAAGGAAGTCTTCAGGGCACAGAATAATACACAATAGTGGGTAAAATGTCTTTTCTTAAAACAGTGTTTCAGGAAAACTTAGTTTCCAAATAATGACCCCATGAGAGTTAAGAAAATAAATGAAGTAAAAAAGAGATAATAATGGTTTAATTTTATTCACATATAGTGACCATTAAAAGCTTAACTCATTCATATAAACATTTTGGCTATTCTAACATCCTGTTTCTCATCTCTTACAAATAAATTCCCACCACAGAGCAGAAGTTCTACTGCAAAGGGAGCATATTAAGAACTGTTAAAGTATGGCATCTGCACAGTTTCACACAGCAGGCCGCCTATTAATATGATACATTTTAACAGATCTATGGTAGCACATGGGCAACCAGACAATCAGTATTCCAGTCAATATCCTTGAGAGATTATTAAATTGGCATTTTTCTCAAGGTATTTTTAAACCTGCTAAGGGAGATTCTATATTGTGGAATTTTAACTTCTTTATAAAGTGGTATCTTACATATTTCATTTTAAGTCCAACAGGAACTTATATCCAAAGCAAAACATTAATTTTTATTTTATTTCCATGTGACTCATGATGTAAATAACTTTCTGTATTTATGCAGATTATTCCTAACTTAAAAAAGGACAACAGACTCTTAGAAGTATACATCAAAATCTAGATTAAATTTTTACCTTAACATTTATTTTTAAAAATTTTTGACAAGAGCAACACGTTAAACACTGGTGGCAAAACTAAGCACTCAAGTTCACTATACATCCTAGCTTCCAAAGAATTTTACTTCTGAGCTTACTGGTCTGAAATTCTAGTTAGAGTATGTTTTATTCATCAACATGTATCCAGCACCTAGTAATACATGATACAGAGTGGGCATTTAATAAGTATGTGTCGGTGACAACAAAAATTTCACCTGTGAGTGAAAAAAACACAACTTTGGATAAATGGCATTTCATTATTCAGCAATACAATTTTTGTGAAAAACTACAGGATAACATTATAAGTAGATCCAAGGATTAAATAAAAATTTCTTCAAGGACTAAAGAAATTCTCATAATGGGGAAAAAAGGGAAGTCATCACATTTTACCCCACAAAATTATTATGTAAAATGTGAAATGTTCAGATAACTTAAACCCACAATACTCAATGAAGCCATTCCAGAATTAATGTTTTACATATTTACTAAAAGAATTCATTCTCCTTATGACAGTATTCCATTTGATAAAAATACTTTTTACAGATTTTGCCCAATTCCTAAGAAACCATGTCTCATCAATTCATTCCCTTTAGTCCCTGAATCCATGTTAAGACACTTTTAAAGACAGAAGAGACCTATTGGACTCAAAATCATCTTTTTAAAAAGATTGTCTGATCTAAAGTAGCTATTTTAGTATATCTGTAACAACATCATGATTATGTCCCAACAGAGGTGTTTTACCTGGCATTATTGAAATTGAGAATGAAAAATGAAAATATTCATCTATAAATAATTTCAAAAATTACTGAAATTTTTAAATCAAAGATCACATCATTGTGTTTTGAAATTAGAAAATTCTTATCACATATAAAAAACACATTTAACCTACTTCAATTAGGTCAATGTCAGGATTTATCAAAATTCTCTATCAAAATTTTTAAAAATCTTTACTTTTAGGTACTATGAAAATAAGCACTTAAATGATAATGTGAGCAATTGCACAAAGAAAGGGAAGAAAATACCACCTGTACAGTTAAAATTTCAAATCCTACACACTTAATCCTTTATTTAAACCTGCTTCTAAATTAAAAAGATACAACACTCTTGGTTACCAATTGTAAATAATAAAAAAAAAAATTCACTGGTCTCAACTCTAATCCGTTTAGTCCATCTACTTTTTCATATCATCACCATCTTTTCTCTATCAGAATCCAACAGAAGAATCTCATTTTCTTTGTTACCTTTGAGCCCAAGGCAACTAGTCTCAGTAATAATAAAAAAAAAAGCTTTATGACTGGTACTCTGTTTCTGCAATAAAAGTATCTTTTCAGTAATCGAAGCTTGTCATCTGAGGAAATCCTTCACTGTTCTAGAAGCACAGTTCGAAGCTCATCTTCTTTATTAATCATCATTGAAGCAATTGCCCCATCATTAAACTCAAAAGAAGTTCCTCCATCCACAACCATGCAGGCATCCCAACAACGAGAACGAACACAAACCCTGGACAGAGAGATATTTCATTAAATATTACGTTTTCCCAAGCCTAACAACAAAATAACTGAACTTTTATCTGAGCTGGCAAATTATTTGGCCTTAATTTCAAAAGCCAAGTAACGTGAGAAAATTCATGACTGAACAATAAGGGGACAATGTCACAGTCTCGTTTGCACATGTTCAGGACAAAGCCATTCACTCAAATATTCAGTGAACAAGTTCAGAAGTGATAGAATTCCAAGGCTATTTTCATATGACTGTTGAGTTATTACAAGTATTTTAAGTCTTGAGCAAGTATTTTTTCATGTAAGGCTTTTGCATAAAGAAAAATATATAAAAGAGGCACCAATTATTAATACAAATTATTAATAGACACACTCCCATTATCCAAGTCAGGAATCAGTGCCCTCTCCCTGCCACTTACCCCTGCGCCTTCCCCTTCCCAAGCATACTCACTATCCTAATTCCATCACTTTAGTAGTAACAGCTCTGTCTGTTCTGGAACTTCACATAAATGGTATTTTAGCCTTTCTCCTTGTACATGGTATCTTCTTCCATACTTTTATTTTTCATTTCCCAGATGAATTTAAGCTCAAGTGCCTTTCCATATGCTTACTGGATACCCCCTTTTGTGAAAATCCTATGACTTGGCCATTCTTCTATTGGACTGGGTTAATGATTCACAGGAATTTGTATTTACAGGTTGAGTATTCCTTTTCTGAAATGCCTGGCACCAGAAATGTGTGAGGTTTCAGATCTTTTCAGATTTTAGAATATTTACATACAAATAATGAGATATCTTATAAACGGACAAATTAGTCTAAACACAAAGTTCACCTATGATTCATATATACTTTACACATAACCTGAATATAATTTTACATCACACTTATAGTGCACCTACATTTTGACTATGACCCATAATATGCCAGGTATGGAATTTTCTACTAGCATCATGGATGTTTTCACTAAGTTTTAGATACTAAAAAATTATAATTTCATATCTTCAGATTAAGGATGCTCAACCTGCATTATATATTCAGCTATGAGCCCATGTTGCATATTGGTCCTGCAGATTTCTTTCTCTCTGTAGCATGCCTTTTTATTATCGGTATCTTTTATTACTGTAAGTTCTCAATTCTAGTGTAATTCAATGCATTAATCATTTGTTGTTCAAGTACTTTTTATGACATGTTTAAGAAACCTTTTCCAATGCCAAAGTACCAAACTATTTTATTACCAAAAATTCAAACATAAAGATAAGTATGTATCTTTCAAGGAATCTTTATAGTCTCACCCAAACTGAGTATAGATTTAATTAATCAAAATTAACTCTCAAATGAATAAGTAAATATCAAGAAAAGTTTTCTTTTTATATCTTACCTGGAAAGAAATCAAATATATACTATAAAAAAAGAATAGTCACATGATAGGTGGCATTTTATAATTAAACTGGCCTTTGCTTCCTGTGAGATGACATTTTCTCATAACTTAAGTTTTCTTGTTAGTTTGAAAAATTAGGCAAAATTTTGTAAATTATATTCATATGGTAATATCTTTCCCCTCAAAAAAAATGAAGCAAATTCAATGTATGGGAATTCATGTTTAGGGAAAAGCTAAAAGAAATGAATCTTACTCTAATTTAGGTTTTATGCAAATATTTATCTTGCTTTTATTCCATAGCTTACTAAGATGATTTGCTTTCTAATCAGTTTTTTTAAACAATCAATTTAACCTTACTGTGTTTTGACACATTAAGAAAACCAACAAATCAAAATCAACCAATTAAGTAACTATGCCTCTTTTCATTAACATTTTAGTTTCTCTGAAGTCGCAGTTTAAATGTATATTAGCTGAGTTAACATAATTCTTCCTTAGTTTCATAGATACTACTTACCCTACCACATAAAGTTTAAATAAATCAGTACTCTTAACACAGCTGTATAATGAACAAAAGTGATAAAAATTGAAGTTAGACCAAGAATGCTTACTTTGAGGAGAAACAACGCTGGCGGCTGCTGGAGAAAACTCGGTTTGCTATTGGTTCTCTGATACTGAAAAGTATTTTTGGTTCTTCTGGACTGTACAGCAGTGACTCATTATATTCATTTGTTACTATAAAGAAAAAATATTAGCACATATGGTGGAGGATGGTCATTTTTGGGAAGTGCAAAACAATAGACGCGATCCTTAATTTAAAAGGATAGTGCTTGGAACTCAACACATACTTCATCAAAAAAAAAAGCACTATAAATGAGGATTAGCTTCGACAAATGACCCACAAAAGCATACAGCACCCACAATACAGCAGAAATAAGTACAGTATAACTGGGGAAAAAACACTACCTACAAAGATAGTAATTAAATTACAAATAGAGGAAATAGGTAGATACACTCAAAGGTATCAAAAGTGGAACATATTCCCCTGCTCCTGTTCTCTCCAGAATACTATGCCACTTTTGTAAGTTAACAGTCTCGATACAAAACAGTCTCAAACAATAATAGGCAATATTCTTTCCCCAGTGAAAGTGTCAAGACTCAAGATATTTTAGAAATCTTTGGGATCTGCCTTCTCTCAAGCCAAGAGGCACATGCAGAACACAACTCTATAAGTCTGGTGTGGTGAGGTGCCCTGTGGTGTCAGCTACACAGGATTCTGAGGCAGGAGAATCACTTGAGTCTAGGAGTTTGAGGCCAACCTAGGCAATATAGCAATATGCTGCCTCAAAAGAAAGGAAGGGAAGGAAGAAGGGAGGGAAGAAAGGAGGAGGAGGAAGGGGAAAAAGAAGAAACTGTGTGAAGAAATTAGGCTTGAAAGAAAGTTCAGTTGATCACTATATTAAAAAAAAAAATTACAAGACTGTCAGATCATCTACTTTATTCATGAAAGTATCATCTAAATTACTAGCACTCAACTTACAATGAATGTTCATCTCTACAAACTCGTCATAACCTGACAACGTTGTAAGCTGAAAATGCACTTGATACACCTAACTTATGAAACCTCACAGTAACACAGAACACTAGAGAGTATGCCCTGTTCATTGCCTCCAGACATGATCACTATACAGTACAATAAAGCCTATTTCCAGCGCAGGAAAAAAATTCAAAATAATAGTTTCTACTGACTGCGTATCATGCACCATCATAAAGTTGAAAAACCACACTTGGCTCTTGAAAAGCAAAATCTAATTCATCCAAGAAAATAAAAATATGCTTCCTTGGGAACACATCACCAAAAATATTATCTATCTGAAAGAAACTTCAAAGGAATAGTTCCAGAAATGTCAAAAGCAGTGATTGTACCACTAGCATTCACTATTGCTTCTGAAGATAGCTAAATCTTCAGACAACAGTCAATAAAAACGTGTGTTTATTAAAAGAAAAACCTATCAGTATATTTTCTATATACCCTTAATTTATATACCTGACATAAACCTCCATCTCTAGGTCTGAATGTGTATATGTACATATGTATGCATGTGTGTGTATGTATCAATTTTTTCTATCTATATATATATAATTTTTAGGTTTGCAATTTTGATTACCACATAGTTGCACATATTTATAAGGGACAACGTGGTATTTTGATGCACACATACATTGGGTAGTGAGCAACGCAAGGTAATTAGCCTGTACTTCACCTTAAACCTTTACTACTAGTTTCCCTTAGTTCACTGAAAAGAAAGCTTTGTCCTATTATCTGTTTATTTCTTCTTTGTAAGTGAATCTTTTTGTCTATGTCTTGTACTCTTCTATTTTTTTTTTTTTTTTTTTGTTTTTCTCCGGTACCGGGAACCGAACTCACGACCTTGCGCTTGCCAGGCAGGCGCTTTTTGCCGCTGAGCTAAATCCCCAGCCCCTGTACTCTTCTATTTTGAAGGTAATGGTATACAGTGTACTGACTATTACTATTCTCTTTTGTTATGATTTTTTTTAATGTTTTCATAAAATAAAGTTTTAAAAAACTTTTACCATTTCTTTAGGGTTACACTCTAAGTTAAACTTCACAATTAAGAGTTAATTATTATACTGTATTGCCTAATTTTGCTGTCTTTGATATAGATTTAATGCTAATGTCCACGATTAAAATAATATTTTTGGTCTCAAATTGAAAGACTAGAATCTACTTTAAGGAGCTGAAACCATGAAAAGCAAAACCACAGGTAAGAGAGAAACCTGCTGCAGTGGCACACAGAATTTAGATACACGTTTTCCATTTGCAAGATACAGACTTTTCTATACTTTCCTATTCCCCAGGATATGTTTATGTTATGTATAATGTTTTGGCATATGTTACTATACTTCATGTACAATATAAATCTACCTTTAATCAGCATACCGTTGAGTTACATTTAAAGGGTTATTGTATTAAGCACATGTTTGAGTCTAAAAAAGTGCTTTGTTAATTAAACAACTACATTATTACTCTCAAAATTGATACAGAACTAAATTAAACTGTCAGTGATTAATATCATTTGCTACTGACCTTTCTCTACCAATTCTCTGTTCAATGGAAGATTCAAATTTCCTTGTCGTTTTGCTGTTGAAAAAGGAATGGGGGATATACCTTCATTAAATACTTTATATAATACCTAATATACAATAACATATATACATTATAATATAATCATGTTATAGCATATAATAGTTGCTCTGCTACTCACCAATATTTAAAACATCTTCCACAGCCTGAGTTGCAACCCTGTTAATATTGAAAGACCTAAAAACAAAAACGTAATTATTTCTTGTTCTAATTCTAAAAATATGCTAAAAATGAAAAGTCTACTTAATATGTAAAAATTTTTTAGAAATTATTAAGACAAGTTATAAATGAACACCACTAAAAACAGATAAATAATGTACTGAGATGGCTATGGGGCAGCCAAGTATTTTCATACTAGGAGGAATGTGGAAATTTCAACTGCAAAGCAATTTATGTACTATCAAAATTTAAAATGGACATATTATGGACATACTCTGCATTCTAGCAATTTATCCTAAAATACATTCCTACATATAATGTGCAAAGACACATAAAAAATATTTACTGAAGCACTATAATTGCACAACAAATATATAGCCATAAGAAGCTGGTTAAATAAATTATACTCATTATGATGTTAAAAAATATAGCTATACATTATGATATGAAAGGATAATCAAAATGTTAATTTTTTGAAAGGCATCTGTGTGTGTGCCCACGCGCACGCATGTAAAATAAAAGATGCTAGTTTTTCACTGTGCAGTGAATTAGTAAGAGTTAACTCCCTAAACTCTCCAATCTTATACTTTCACCTTTAGACAAATGTGAAAACACTCTGGACATTTTAGGACAAGATATAGATCTACAAACTGTTAATTAAACATTTTAAATCATTCACATATTAAACACTTGTGCTAAAAAAATAAATCTAAGATCTGCCCCTTGCCTACTCCATCTTTCACCATCATCTACCCTCCAATTTCACAACCTACCATACCAAACTCATTCCTACCTCTGTACCCTTGCTCACACTTACTACATAGTATGAAGCAAAACACTGTAAGTTTCCTGACTTTCTTATTCAGTAAATATGTGTCTCACTAGTATTACTGTTCACACTACAAAGCATGAGGCACTTACTGCCTGGCTCAGGGAAAGGACTCCATAATAAACAAAAAACTGTTAAAAGAAAGGAAGATTTATGAGTCATATTCTACTTCTTCTGAACACCCACATTACTGACTGTAGAATGCTTAGGAGCATTCCTTATTTTAAAATCTAAAAGCCATACAAAAACAAATTTATTATTAGAGTTCTAATGAACTAAAATAAACATCACAATGATTTAGTGACTAATACCTCTTTATGGTAAACACAGAACTCTTATAAAAACCTGTTATAATGTTCCAAAACTATGAATTATTAGGGATACTATAAGCCAACCCTAAATAAATTCTCTGAGTTGGCCTTATATTAATTTTCTATGGTTGTAACCAGGACTTTAGCCAGTTTAGTCTACCTTTAAGAGCAACAGGTTATGCTCTACATCAAAGACGTACTAAAAGTTCACCTCATAAAAATGCCCTCTCAGCTAGGCTTATAATCTTGGACAGGTGTTAAAAACTGCAAATTGCAGGCCAGCTTGGGCAGCTTAGTGAAACCCAGCTCAAAATTTTTAAAATAAAAAAATACTGGGCATGTAGCACTTGCCTAGCACTAGGCACTGAATTCAATACCCAGTATCACAACAGAACACAACACAACACAAAACAAAACAAAATTAACCCCTATTCCTGACCTTAAGTCTGACAGGGCAAAATATATGCAGGAGGAGGACTGGAAGCAGCCTTAAGAAACTAACTGAAATATGTAATTGCATTCTGTAGTACTTCTCCAAGTGTGTGGGGTAAACCATGTAGCACACTGGCCAGAAGACCGAGATAAAGGACAATTCATTTACTCTTCAATATGACTCCTACATCTGAACCCTGTAAAATAATTTTTGGAAAAACAAATACGGGATTTTCCCAAACCCTTCTGTTTTCCCTGGACACATAGTTAGGCTTTATTTTCTAGCCCCTCTCACCATATAACCCTGTGAGTTCTAGTTAAGAGTCAGAGTGGACATGATGGGCAGCACTTCCACGCCTTGCTCACCAGTCTCCCTGGGGGCCCGGCCTCCATGGTCTTTCTTTTTCTGTGGCTTGACATAAATGAACACATTGACCTCAAGAGCCATGTTCAGAAGATAGCAGAACCAAGGGTGGAAAGAGTCTGGCTCCCTGAACCGCCACTTGAAGGAAAGCCACCTACCAATTACCCACTCTGTACTTTATGGGAATAGAAAATAAACTTCTATTATGTTGAGCTATTATGTTAGCACAACTAGCTTACCTTGAGTTACACATTTCCCTATATTCAAAGCAGACACTGACATGGTCACACACACACACAAAAAAAAAACTTTACTTCCTCAAAAAAACAGGAAAAGAAATTAGACTATCCTAACCTTTTCTTCCCAGTGACTCCTCAGAGCTTTATAGTTTATAAAGCTGTCTCTGATTTAAATCTTGACTTCACCATTTATTAGCCACATGGCTTTGTGCAAGTTAACTTATGACACTTTACACTGTTAAGGCAAATAAATCACCTACCTCCAGAGTATTTGTGATAATTTAAATAATGTAATCACATGGAACCAAAAAAGGATTCAGAAGTGCTAAGTGATAAAATTAAACTATGATGTACAGAAATGTACACATTTCTCCCAAGGCCCTCTTGCTCCTGAGGTTCTTTCTCTCTTTGCATTTTCCAAAGAAGAAAGAACAAAAGATCTACCTCAGCAAAAAACTCATCAATAATGTGAAGGAAGAGGGCAAAGTGCTAGAGGCCAATAAGGTGCTCAGGGCACAGAGCTTACAGATAGGGTGTGGAATTCTACACTAAGTATAGACATTAATGAGAGATTTTAATGAACAACAGACAAGGCTGAAATTCTAAACTCAGCCTTACTCAAATGTAACATGTCACCATGGTTACAACATGCATCTCAATGCAAAGGGCTGGGTTCAATCCTCAGTACAGGGTGGGGTTGTTAACAGTGATTGTTAGTCTTTATGTTCTTATCATGACTGAAAACTTGACAACTATCTAAATTACAATACACACGTTTGAAAAAGTCCAAGTATATACAGCAAAAGCACTGTTTCACTAGGAGAACCAAGTTTATCTTGATAGTTTCCCAGTTCAGTAAAACTGCTATGATTTGAGTATGATTCCTAAAGTTCATGCATCAGAAAATCCCCAATTCAACAGCGCTGAGAGAAACTGAGGTGATTAGATCACAAGGGCCCTGCCTGCATAGTGCATTCATGTTCTTAACTCGGGGTGGGTTCCTGACAGAAGGGTGAGTTCAGGCCTCTCTTGCATCTTCTACCATAGGAAAAAGCAGCCAGAAGGCCCTCACCAGATGCTGGCACTGTGAAAACAGACTCCCCAGCTAACTTTGAGAAGTCTCTGTTCTTTAAAAATGACCCATTCAGTGGTAGTGTTACAACAGTAAGAAACAAGATAACAATGACTCAACTTTCAAGTGTGTGACTTCTATAGATGTCTCAGAACCCCTCCTCTCCATTTAAAAGCCGACTTTCCCTTGTGGGCTGCACAAGTAACAGTGACAGTGAAAAGTGCCCGCAAGCATACTGTGCTTGTATCCAAGTTGTCATACTAGTTGTGTGGCTTGGCTTAAACTGTTATCCTTGTTGACCTTCAATGCCTCCCCCTCACACACACACTCCTTATTGGGGATTAAACCCAGAGCCTTGCTCTGAGCTACATCCCTCCTGCCCACTCTCTGCTGAGACAGGACCTCACTTCGTGGCTAAGTTGCCCCGGCTGGGCTCCAATGTGCAGTTTTCCTCTCTCATCCTCACTGACAGCTGGGATTACAGGCTCATGCCATCAGACCCAGCTCACTTCAACTTCTTTCTTATAAAAATGGATAGTGCTGTATCCTTTGAGGATTTTTGTAAGGATCAATGCAAAGTATGCAGCACAATGCAAAGTAGCAGGGGATGAATAACTTACAACACGTAAAATAGAAACTTACAGAATCTCAGAAGTTCAGAAGATAAAGTAATATTATATCTATTCCACGTTGCTCACCTTCCAGATAAAGAAACTTATACAGGGTTACAAAACCAGGTAGTGGTTTAGTCAGCTCTCCTAAGTGCTTTTCATTTATACCACTGTGCCCATTTTAATGGGTGAGAAGACTGGGGGAAGACAAGGGAAATAATTTCTAGAAATTGTCCTGGGAACAATTTCGAATTCTCATTCCAGTTTTCAACAGTAGTATACTGTGTTCCATAAAAAAAATACTATCATGATAAATTAAAGCTGTTAATTGTAATGTTTTTAATTTAACCTGAGATGGTTATAAAATAATTTTATAGCATATTAGATGGCTAAATTTATTTTTTCATATAATTAGAAAAGTCATTTTAGAAACTTATCATTTTAATTCATCATATAAAATATTTGCGTTTTTTCCAAGAAATTATTTTATTTAAGACTAAGTTATTGCTTTAAATACTTGTTTTTTTCCCCCAAACATTATTTTGTTTGGCTAGGTTTTTTTAAAGATGTAAAGGTACTTAATTCAATGCATGAATAAAATGATAAGACACCTGAAAATCACTTCAAAAGAACATAGGTACGTTTAGGATACTCCACCCTAAAAAGCAGCAGCAACAACAACCACCACCAAAAGGTACACGTTGATAATTACTGGGCAGCCTAGTAGATAATAAGGATTCATTATAATATTTTGTCTATTCTTATATAAAGAAAAACACCAGTCACCAGTTCAAATCCCTCAGGTTGCTCAAACCAGCTAGATTTTAGCACATTAGATAATAAAGACAGGTGCTATAATAGCACTGAGAAAAGTGCTAGGGAAAGGCAAAAGAGGGATTACTTCATTGCTTATGAAAGAAACAGTGTTAATGAACATTTCCTAAAGAGAATGACATTTGAAGACTGACTTTTTAACTAGCGGATGCAAAGTAGAGAATGTTCAGATATTCAAAGCAGGAAAAAACTGCACTGAGAGAAACAAAAAGCCAAGAGAGAACAAACCATGTGCTGAGAATTCCAAGTAGCCTGCTGTGATGCCCTCAGGGTGCTGATGGGTAGGGTAAGGCTAGGGCAGGAACAAGGACAGTAAGGTACCCAGTGGATGAACGGAGCAGAAACTGGGTCACCTACGTAACACAGAGCTACCTCATGCATACTAGGGCCTTAGATGCACCAATATGAGATATCAAACAAATTGCGTACTTAAAATATTTCACAAATCTTACTTACCAGGCCTTTGATCCTGTCCCAGTACACAAATTGAGCCCTGAACTCTTCTGTTTTTCCCACGGGCCATCATCCACTGAGATCTCATAGTAGGATGCCCTGTGAACACAGAACATAAAACTGTTTCCTGAGCTACAGCTCACAGTAAACAAAACAGACATATCTTTTTCACAACTGATAAAATCTAAGTAAGTCAGCTTGACCGAGACATATCTTCTTAGTAGACACACACATTATGCCTCTAATTCCAAAGTTAAGTGAAAAAGTTAGAAGAAAAACTTTTTGTATGTCTGCATGCCTTTCTGATCTCTACATGCTCTTCTGTATCAATACTTTAATACATCAAACAAGAGCTTGTCCATTTTTGGCTAGCATTGCTGCTACCACTTTTGTGAATCTCATATATACAAAGCTTCATTTCAGAATTCAAAAAGGAAAACAGCATTCTCTGGTGAGTTTCATTTTCATGGCTAGTCCTTGTCATATCTAAATCTGTATCTTTAAGTTACCAATCATTTCCTCTAAATTCTTGTTTCTTCAGTTATAACTATATGTTAATGTACTTTTTGAGTTGGCAGTAATCTAACAGTGATAAAAAGCTATAAAGAAAATTCTTGGTCACTTTAGATTAGCAGACAAATCAGAATAAAACTAATTTCTTTCTTTCTTTTTAGAGACTGGGTCTCACTATGTTGTCCAGGCTGGCCTTGAACCTATAATCTTCCTGCCTCAGCCTCAGCAATGCTAACAAGGGTGTACCACCACACCCAGCTTGAACTAATTTCTTAAGAGATTAACATTCCTTAGACTATTTCATAAGTATAACTTAAGTAGGTTTTCTGATACTAGCAAAAATGGCACTGTTCTTTAACCCCAAAATAATTTCTACCTATTCAAAGAACATTTGAACTACATAAAAGCCTATTTTGTAAATTCTATCTTAAAATAATGATATCACTAGTCAATGCTAGATTATTTGTTCTCTATCAACTAAAAAAAAAAAAAAAAATCAAACCCTTAGTAGAGCTTTTCAAAATAATGAAACTATTAGACACTCTGCAAATATGAACACTCTATAGATAAACTTTATTCTAACCCTTATAATTTCTCCTGTAAGATCTTACTTTGTGAGGGTTACACATGAAACAATTCTTTAACATTTTTCCTCTGAAGTTAACATTCCTTATAAAAATGAGAGACAGCAGGCCTAATATTCATTTAACCTACTTCATCGCTGTAAGTCTTCTTAGAAAATGCACATTAGGAACCTATTACTTACAGACAAGCTAGCCAAATCCACAGAAATGGCTAGCACCATGGCAGTGTTAAGTAGTAACAAAAGGAATTAGAAGTAAATTGGAAAGAGTGGAGGAAAAGCAGAACTGGAGAGAAAGAAAAGCATAGTCAGGTAAGAGATGCTGAGTCCAAAACGAGCAAATTTAGTGTCATTCTCACATGCATGTTTATTGAGATTAGTTAATTGACAGAATTTTTGTTTGGGGGAGAGTATTTTTTTAAGGCAGCAATAAAACTCACAGTCCCTTTAGGGTGGGGATAGTTCTTCTTAAACTGTCCACTGCTACAGCCCAAGAATAAGACATTCTAGGTTAGAACAAATAGGGGAAAAGAAAAAAAAAATCGGGCTTTTAAAATGTTCTTGTATCTAAGAACATTATAAATGAGGCAGGAATAATATTGCTGCACTTCATATTTCCAAGCAAAGCACTTAAGTTTTAGGAACATAATAAAGCCTCAATGCAGAGTATAAACTCATAAATAATGGGCGTATACAATAGTTTTGATGCTAAATATATGACCTTGGGCAGGTTGTTTGAACCTTCCAAGTGTCAATATGTTCACTAGTAACTTTCTCATAGGAATGCTGTAAGCATTAAATGAGATTACATAATATAAGCTTGACACACAGCAGGCAAATAAATTTTCATTTTCTTTCTGACTAATCATTACAGAATCTTTCTAATCCCTTTGGTAGTTACGATGTGTTCGATAGTATCAGAAGCCCACCCAATGCTGCCCTTATTTTAATAAAGATATTAGGTGAGGCATCAAAAAACACAAAAGGCAGCAGCATCAGAAACCACCCTATGGGACTTCACTGATCCCCCAAGTGTAGCAGCTAACCCCAGTTTTCCTCCTTTTATAAGTTATTTTTTAGTAAGTACAAAGTATAAAGCATTGCTAGTAAAGGTTCTCAGAGCAGTTAACTACATATTTAAAATATAGAAACAGAATAAAATAAACCATTAAGTGGCTTGCCTAGAGGGAGCATAAACTCACAAAAACATTTTACTTTATTCATCCATTTAACCTAATGGAGTTTCTCCAATCTCATTTAGAGTACTTGTTCTCTGCCTTATGCCTTTGGTAGTACAATAATGACTAGATTATATCACTAATCCGAGTTACATCTCCTCTCTCTCATCACACGACACTATTACTCATCTCCATACTGCTTCAAACTTGATGTCACAGAAAACTTTATAGATAACAAAAGTGTTACCTATGTTAAAATAAACTTTACATTTTACTGTATTTTTAATTTCCTAAAATTTTATTTCTTTGCAAACAAACTTTCCTTTTAATACTAAAATTGGTTAGGATTGGCTAGTTATTTTAAGCTGCTAACTATGTCACACATACAGCTTTACAAAAAGAAATTTGGTCAACAATTGAAGACTAGTTATATTTAAGTTAAACAAAATAGATGTGAGCAGTAATGAAGTACAATTTCATACTCCTAATAAGGAACTATAGTAACTTTAAATTTTGCTAATAATTGTTACAATCTCAACCTGTCAATACTCAATACACTTGCTTTCTGATGTGTTACACTAAAAAGGGTACATCACCACCTATACAGCATTCCCATCAAAATTGCCTACTCTGAGTCAGGCATGGTGGCACACACCTTAAATCCCAATGCTTGAAAAACTGACTGAAGTAGGAAGATTTCAAATTCAAGGCCAGCCTGGGCTACGCAATGAGACCCTGTTTCAAGAAAAAAGAAAAAAGAAAAAAAAAAAAAAACCTAATCTTATAAGGCAGCGAAAAAAGTCATACAAATCTAAAATAAGGGACGTTCTGCAAACCAAATGGCTTAGATTACTCGAAAATATTGGTGCAATAAATGACAAAAGAAGAATGGAATTAAGGCATTATTCTTAATTTTAAAGAGCCATAATGCAATGAATGAGTCTTGACTGGATCCTGAATAAAAACAACAAACAAATCAACTTTAAAGGATACTAAGACAATTACTGGAGAAATTTTATTTTTTTATTTTGTTTATTTTTTGACACAAGGTCTTATTATGCTGCCCAGGCTGGCCTTGCATTCCTAGGATTCAGTGATCTCCCTCAGCCTCCTAAGTAGCTGGGACACCTGGCTCTAGTGGAGACATTTAAAGGACTATCTTTAAAAGTTTTGTAACAATTGCAAATACATGTCTAGTGCATCATACTCTATAAACATTTACAAAACATCTACATAGTAGATTAAAGGTCCTAGAAAGTGATACAGTAAAGAAACCTACGTAATTCAGCTTAATGTAGGGTTTTATCAACTTTTTTGGTCACAGAATGCTATTTTCCCTGAATATGCATTAATGGGTATGATGGTTTTGAAAATATTTCATTTAATACTTAATAGGTTGTTTATACAGTATAAATTATTTAAAAATCTTAGGCAAGATGTAGAAATTAAATAAATATCCAAAAAAATCCTACAGTATTAGATTCCACACTCAAGATCACAGTTTAAAAGTACCTGGATGACAGACTCTCCCCAATGAAGACTTCATTTAGTGCTCTCACTGGCAAAAGCTGGGGTCCTGAAACCTCAGACCCTGAAGTAAAGGGGAAGAAAAATCCAAAATAGGTTGTTAAATTTTAGAAATGTTACATAAAAATTATAAAACATTAAAACTTTTATAGTTTCAATAGAATCTACCTATTCTAAAGTATCCATAATATAAACCTTAGCGACATCTAACCTTACACCAACAAATGAAGATTCTATCTCTCCAAAATAAACTTTAATTCTATTTGAAACAATTTCTTAAGAGTGATAAAACATATTATCCAATTCATAACATTCCTGTCATAGTTTTACCTTGAAAGCTTTAGTGGTAGAACTGACCAAGTACTTCCAAAGAAGCACCATCTTAGATTTAAGCAGCAAATTACAAAAATCAAACTATATATGTTAAGAGATCATTAATGTCTTGTTTTTGTTATTGTTTTCCAATAGAAAACCTCAACAGTATTTTTAGCACCAGCAGCACTGGAGAAAATACTGCCCCATCTCTCTTCAGGCCTCTTAAACTATATCAGTTTTTCTTCTTTCAAACTACAAGATTGTGTGCACAGTTTAACTAATTTTCTGTGATTATTTAAACATCACTCCATCACAGAAAACCACCTAAAGGACTCCTGATGCCTTCTGATTCAAAAATGTGATTGTCATCTTCCTAGTGTCCTTTACTTTTTGTCTGTTACCAGCTTCCAACTAGAAACGCCATCTTTTCATCATCAGTGGTAGCAGATTTATTGCCCGCAGTATCCCACCAAGCAAGCACCATGGGACAACTTCACTTTGCTGTTCCCTCCAAAACTTCTCCTAAGTCAACATAGGCAGCCTCCAAGACAGCAGCAGTGAATCTTGCCTCATGGCACTCGCCCTTGTGACGAGACACACTCTCCCACATCATACCAGCATTGCCCTATGTGACCAATAAAATGTCAGAAGTGACGTCATATAGCACTTCTGAGAGTACATTAGAAAAGACACTGTGGCTTCCATCATGTCTCTCTTCTTCTCTCAGCTCACTTGCTGTGAGGGAAGACATGTCTAAAGACATGGCCTTTGGCTAGGTCAGCTTGGACAGAACTGGAGCCTCCTGCCAAAAGCCACATGATGAGCTGAGAAGGAGATCCTCCAGTCCCAGTGACATCTGCATATAGTATTGCCATCCTAGTTGACAGCTTGACCTCACCTCCTGAGAGACCCTGAATCAGAACTGGCCAGAACTGGTGCCTGCATTCCCGAGCTTTACAATCTATGGGAGATTATAAATATTTATGCTTAAAATGCTAAATTGTGGGGAAATTTGTTATACAACAATAAAGATCTTATACACATTAGATACCTATACACTAAAAAACCACCACTGTCACCAACACAATCACTGATCTATTCTCCTCCGAGTTGCTAACCTGATTATTATATTTGTCTGTTCACATGTTTATTAATGTGACCATTCGTTATATTTTCCTCATGTCTTTTGGATCATAACTGCCTAAAGGGAACTCAACTATTCTTTCACATTCAAAACGTTATTATAATACCAATGACCCTTGAACATTTATTTGCCTAAATTATAAGTTCAGTCTCATAATACAGAAAAGAACCTGACACAAAAAGCTAAAAAAAAGACTTTGTGTTCTGTGTTTATCAAATTTAACTGCACTTACAAAAGGCTAACTTTTGAAACTGTCTGAATTTGCTATTAGATATATTCATATTCTCATGTCTGACAGTTTTATAAATGTAGAAAGTGATACTTCTTGTTTAAATTACTCCCCCTTAAAGTAATTACTAATGGAATTTATTTCAGATCTTCATCCCCAGATTTTCTACACATGCTGAACTGTGGTACTCACTAAATATTACTAATAAATAAAACTCTCACCAAACTGTACCTATATATTTCTCCTTTATATTATCTTGACTTTCTACCTCTATTCTCATTTTCTCTAATTTTATTTTGCATATATTTTATTATGTATGCTCGTGAAATTTCATCTCAAAAACATTGTCAAATGAATAAAATTGCTTCAAATATCATTAATCATCTTGATTTTGTTTATATTTTCATGCTAATTGACTACCAAACCTTACCCAATCACAAAACTATTCAATAACTTGTTTCAGTGGGACACTCTATCTAAGAGAATGTATTACAAACTTACAATTTGTATTTCTAAATACAGACTTGTTAAACTAATGAGAGAAACTACTAGAATTATACCATCCTGTACAATTCTCCCCACATTCTCATATTGCAAGACTATTTCTGGGTCTACTTTAGGTGGAATCATGTGACTGGTAATGGCCAATGGAATGAGGGCAAAAGTAATGAAAAAAGCCTGGCCCCTAAAACTTAGTACCTTCCATGCTCTCTGTATTATTCTCCCCACAAGATACTGAAGATCCAGTAGAACACTCAGAGGCCTGAGAACATGGGCAGAGCCACTATCTGGAAGAAGGCTGGGCTACCTGGACACCCCCTGGATAGTGAGATGAGCAAGAAAGAAACTTAAAATTGCATTAAATCACTGATATACTTGGTATTATTTATGAAACCAATTCACCTTTCCAAATTAGTATGACTAGCTTGCAAATAATAAAGCTACAAGTTATTTTGAGTTGTTCATATATTCTAGATATTAGTCCCTCTTCTGAGGAACAGCTGGCAAAAATTTTTTCCCACATTGTGGGCTGTCTCTTCACTCTGTTGGTGGTTCCTCTAGCTGTGCAAAAGCTTCTAAATAAAATGAAATCCCAATTTTTGATTCTTTGTGATAGCTCCTGTGTGACTGGGGTTTTTTGTTCATAAAGTCTTTGCCTACACCAACGTCTTCAAGAGTTCTACCTATTCTATCTTCCAGCAGATTTAGTGTTTCCATTTTAATATTTAGATCTTTGATCCATTTTGATTTTAGTTTAGTGCATGGTGAAAGGTATGGATCTAATTTTAATCTTCAGCATGTGGAAAGCCAGTTTTTCTAGCACTATTTATTAAAGAGGCTATCTTTCTTCCACTGAAGGTGTTTGCCTCCTTGTCAAAGATAAGGTGTCCAAGTATGTCTGGAGTTGTTTCTGCATCTTCTAGTCTGTTCCACTGATCCTTGGTTCTGGTTTTTGTTTGCCAGTAGCATGCTGTTTTTAATCACAGTAGCTTTGTAGCATTGTTTCAAGGCAGGGATTGTGATGAACCCTGCCTTGCTTTCATTGCCCAGGATTGCTTTTGCTCTTCTGTATCTCTTCTGGTTCCAAACGAATTTTAGGATTGTTTTCTCCAATTCTGTGAGATATGCTATGGGAATTCTGATAGGGATTGCATTAAATGTGTGTAACAACTTTGGAAGTAAGGCCATCTTCACTCTATTGGTTCTTCCTACCCAAGAACAAGGGATAGCTTTCCATTTTCTGATATCATCTTCAACCTCCCTTTTCAGTGTACTGTACTTTTCACTGTTTAGTCTTTTACTTCATTCTTTAAACTGATTCTAGGTATTTCATTTTTTTGGATGCTATTGTGAAAGAGACCCAGTCCAAAAATGGACATCTGAAATGAACAGACACTTCTCAGATAAAGAAGTAGAAATGGCAAATAAATATATGAAAAAGTGTTCAACATCACTGGTCATTTGAGAGATGTAAATTCAAACAACACTGAGATTCCATTTCACCTCCCTCCCAAAAGAATGACTATCATCAAGAAATCAGCTAATAACAAATGCTGGTGGGTCAGTGGGAAAAAGGAACCCTTTTCCACCTCTTTTGGGAACTGGTGCAATCACTGTGGAAATCTGTGGAGATTCCTCAAAAAACGAGGCCTGCAAGTTCCATTTAATGTAGCTATTCTCCTTCTTGGTATCTTCCCAAAGAGAATTAAAAGCATCATACCACAGCAATATATGTATACCCATGTTTATGGTGGCACAGTTTATAATAGCTACATCTTGGAAACAGCCCAAATGCCCATCAACCCATGAATGGATAAAGACGACGTGGTTTTTTTATACAATGGAGTACTATTCTGCCATAAAGAAGACAAGTGTCAGGCATCTCTAGCGAAATGGATGCACCTGAGACCGTAATCTTACAAATCAGACACACACGTTAATACCTCATGGTTTCTCTGGTGTGAGAAACTGAAAGCATAAATGAAGATCAAAATGCAAAATAGATATCGTAAAATGGGAAGAAAATGTTCAAACAACAAGGGGAGTAGGGGTAGCGTGGAGACGGGACAAGAAAAAAAGAAGAGAAGGAAAAAATGGAAACAAAATTTCTGTGAAGAAGAGGAGCGGGGCTGAAGGAAGGACAGGGAAATGAGAAAAAAAAGAAGCAGCAAGATACACCAGGTACAGGTACAAATTCCCTATGATGAATGTTATCTCTATGTATATCTAAAACGTACCAATAAAATAAACAAAAAAATTTGTTAAAAAGTAACCAATTACATGATTAAAACATGTTCTTAATAAAGAAAATAAATAAATCAACCCTACTGTACTATTCTGAAGTTATTACTGGTAATAAAAATGAATTTTTCTTCAGTAATTTGTACATAAATATAAACTACGTAAAGACAGGATATCCTATATAAAATAGAAAATTTCATTTATAGCTAGGCATGGTGTGCATACCTGTAATCCCAATTATTTGGGAGGCTGAGGCAGGAGGATCACAAGTTTGAGGCCAACCTAGAGAACTAAGTGTAATCCTATCCAAAATTACCAAAAAAAAAAAAAAAAAAAAAAGCTAAAGATGTAGCTCAGTGCTTCTTATGCTGGAAAAATTTGTTTCCATTTTTAAAAGTTATATCGTCGCTTTTTTAAATTGAAAGGTTAAAGCAGGATTTTTTGTCCTAAATTAGAAAGTTAATTCCAGAATCACTTACGTTAGTATATTTATAATCTAAACTTATTCTATATTAAAAAATCCCACATGGAAGCTTCTTAGGAAATGTTTCCAGGCAACTTGAAAAGAATATAAATGGGAAATACAATATGTACCCTGAAATTGTTTTAAATTTTTTTCTCAAAAAAATGAAGATACAAAAAAACCCTAACAACAACAAAAAAAAAAACAGTCCTATAAATTACTGTCTAATATTGTACTGGCAAATACCATATAATTGTTATTGACAATAACAGTAATATAATTATAATAACAATGTTTAACATAGCTTTCAAGAAATCTAAAGTTATCCTAATTCCAAATCCTTTAAAACTCCTATATAAAATAACCTGCTCCAGGGGGCTGGGGATTTAGCTCAGCGGCAAAGCGCCTGCCTGGCAAGCGCAAGGTCGTGAGTTCGGTTCCCGGTACCGGAGAAAAACCAAAAAAAAATAACCTGCTCCAATCACCACCACCACCTCCTCTTCTCCGGAAGCTGTTTCTTCTCTAGTACTGCACTCTACTACCACTAATTATGCTGAAAACTGGGGGTTCTTTCAATTCAGATTCTTCCGTACATTTTGAGAAATTTTCCTGCATTACTGTTTTAGTTAGAACATTTTCTTTTTGTAGAACTATCATTAATCAGGTTTAAACATCCGCATGTTTAGCCATCACTGACTAAGTTTATATGTATTTGTTTTGGGGGCTTTTTTGTTTTCTTCTGTACAGGGGATTGAGCCCTGGGTTTCTAGAATGCCAGGCAGGTGCTCTACCACTAAACTACATCCCTATTACCTTTTAAAGACAGGTACACTATATAACCTCTCACCAAATTGCCCCCAGACTGGCCTCAAACTTGTGATCCTCCTGCCTTAATTAAGCCTCCCAAATAGCTGAGATCATAGCAATGTGACACTAAGGCTTGCCATAATTGTTTCTATATATAAAATATTAACTTGCTTTATAAACTAAACCCAGTGAATCCGAGTCATGTATCTGAGCAGTGAATCTCTGTATGCCAATCTCCGTTTTCCTAATATTGATGAAAAGCACCAATTGTTTGGACGTAGCAGTAACATGTTCAAGTAAGAAATACAATAAAATTTGTAAGTATGACTTTAAGGTCTTAGAATTTATTGAAGACTCTAAAACAATGATGAACATAATTTCTGTGCAGTAGTAGTACTAAGCATTAAACCCAAGGAGCATTTTAGTTACTAGAAAAAAGTAGGAAAATACAGCTAATAACCCATAAATTAGCTCAAAACTGAGAATTCACCTTAACCCTCATTAAAAAAAAAAACCTGCAAATTTTCTTTTCCTAATATTCCCCTTAAAACACTTCAAACATTAAAAACTTAAGTCTAAGATGCAAAATCTCTTAACAAAAAGGTTCTATTCAATAACTATCACTATGGTAAATATAATTAAGCATAAACCACATAAAATGTATAATTATCATGAATTCTTCCACAGATCATTTTATCTCTACTCTTTGTATTTGTTTTGTTTTGTTTTTGGTATTTCAAAGATTAAGGCAAAAAAATCTTTCTTAGCCATCAACTATCCTATCAGTTATGTTATGTTCCTCCTTAATCAACCAGTTTTCAAACCTGCCCTAGAAATATGTTATGTTTATTTTGCAGGGATTATCTTTTTTTTGTTGTTTTTCTTCTGGTACCAGGAATCAAACTCATGACCTTGCGCTTGCCAGGCAGGTGCTTTGCTGCTGAGCTAAATCCCCAGCCCTGTTATATTTATTTTGGATTCTAATTATAATACATTTTACAACAAAGTAGTTTAATGTACTTTGTTAAGTGTTGTTAGTGGCACTAAAATAAGTTTACTACGGGTAAATATTATTACCTCAAAAAATCAGAGGTCAAAAGAACTATATGTTCTGCTCCCAAACCCACTCTAAATCCACCTACTTTCATTATTGACTCTCTCAATGTTGAAGGCTCTGCTATGCTGATTCAAACTCAGCTGCTGTTCGTGAAGGTCCACAGGAACGGGGTTGATGCCAGTCCCTTCAAGATATAACCTGATACGCTGCCTCCATAACCACCTTAGGAAAGCCAGCGAGAAGAAAGCTACGTTAAAACACAATATACTAAATTAAGGATTGGACATTATAATAATTTCACCAAATTAAAAAATACATATTAAAAAATAGGCATTCTATGAATGAATTATACCTGAAACAACTAAACACCCCCTGGGTTACCATTCAATGAGAGATCAGGATATTTATTTCTCTGCTCAATTATACTGAAAGTATCTAAAGTTTCTGTATAAAATCTTCCAAGTGACTTGAATTAAAGTCAAACTTTTTATTAAGAACCCATTAAGTCTAAGATATTGAGCTCATCATAACCTTGAGTTTTACACAGTAAGAAAACATACAAACAAAAAAGCATTCTGGAAGTAAAATACCATGTTAAGTGGCTGGATTGGATAAAATCCCCCCCAATTCCACAATGATGGGTTTAATAAAAGAGATTAAGAACAAATATAACATCTCTATTACACTTAATGTTTTAAACAATATTTTGATAAAAGTAAAAAGGAATTAAGCTTAATTGATTTCAAAACCAATAGTACTGCTTCAAAACCAGTGGGCCAGATTCAGCTTGGTAATATACGAAACTAAATTCCCTCTGGGATTATAAATTAGTCACTTCTAGAGGTACCAGATTTCTTACATCATGAGAAATTAGAATCACTAATAATAAAGTGATTCTAGAAAAGTGAATTATTTTTGAGGTGCAGCTGAATGGGAGGAATGTTTTCTTATGTTCTATGTTTCAGTAACTGAGTATTTCAAAATAGTTAATAGCACTGTGAATGTTCCCAATACAAAGAAATAATAAATGTCTGAGGTGACAAATATACCAATTACCCTGACCTGATCACTGGATACATGTTTTGAAATGTAACACTGTAGCCAGGCATAGTGGAGCATACCTGTAACCCCAGCACTGGGAGGCTGAGGCAGAAGGATTGCTACAAGTTTGAGACCAGCCTAGGCTATGCAGTGAGTTCAGGGGCAGCCTGAACTTTATAGAGAGACCTTGTCTCAAAAAAAAAAAAAAAAAACCCAAAAAGTAACATTGCACCGAGCAAATATACACTATGTGTCAATTAAAACCAAGTTCTAAAAACTTAATACTATTTTCTAAATATTCGGAGAAAAAAACTATAAAAAGTAGTTCAACCTGGCTCTCTCACATATAAGGGGCTAACCTATCTCAGCATCTCCCTCCATCTGCCTCTTTTCATGACAGTCTGACCACTGAACATATTAAGTAAAAGGAACATTTTAAAAGTCTTAACCCTACGAGTTAACAAACAATCTGCAAGACAGAGATGGCTGCATTAAATATTCAATCATCCATTGGTTACTGGATCAAAGATGAATATAAAAATATAAAATCTTAGCTGGGCATAGTGGTACATGTCTATAATCCCAGCACTTTTCGAGGCTGAGGTAGGAGAATCACAAGTTTAAGCCCAGCCTGAACAACTTAGTGAGATGCTGTCTCAAAACTTAAAGGAAAAAAAAAATTTAAAAGGGCTAGGGATGTGAGAAGGCCCTGAGTTCAATACCCAGTAACACGCAGGCATGCACAAAATACAAAACATATATAAAATCTCAGAATTTGAGCCCTTACCAGCTTTAACTGTCTTAAACGGTTAAGAATTCATAGCAAGGTTAAGAAAGCAGAGGTGTGGCCTCTATCTCACTGAAACACCTCTAACTGCACTGATAGCCAAGTAACATTTAACATGTTTTCTCTACACAGTTCCAACTGGACTAGAAGGAGGTAAGTTAGAGCTATCAGAGACTCGGCAAGTGTGTAACTATTTCAGGCTACTGTCCTAACTATGGAGTAATCTTGACTTGTTCTGCTTTTAACAGCATTATTAACGGCACATGTTTATTAAAATATACAAGAACAGCAGCAAGAAATTCCTACCTGAACTCACCACGACAGAACTTCTGTAAGGCTTCTGGGAAGGAATGTGTATATCTAACAGGCAGACACAGGTGACCTTCAGACCTTTATTTAAAAGAGATTTTTGGGTGTTGTAAAGGAAAGGAGTGTAAAAGAAAAAGTAATTATCGTTATAAAAATCAAAACTGTCTATTCTTTCAAGAACAAAAAGCCCAAATAGAAATATGCTATATCTAACTTTAATGCACAATACACAACAATACTTAAGTTTCCCCTTTATGGTAAAATTAAAAACAACAGCAAATCTGCCACTGTTTGGTTACCCTATAAAGTTATCTAACAGTATAATAGTATTTGCATTTTATTGTTAAACTACTTAGCTAAGAAATTTGGGTAAGCGACTTTAGTATGTTTTTTTTATCTCTAAAGGCATGATAAAAGCACCAATCACAGATTTTTCTGAAGAATCAATCTATGTGAAAGTACACTAAACCATAATCCCATTTAAATGTCATTTAAAATATTCTTAAATGAAAAGAACTGAGAAATCTTATTCCAATATTTAAAAAAGGGCCCTGATGGATTCACAGCATTATTTTACAAGAAATTCAGAGAAGATTTAATACCAACAGTCCTCAAACTCTTCAATGAAATTGAAAAGGAAGCAATTCTCCCTAACTCATTTCTTGAGACAAGTATTATACTGATACCAAAACCAGAGAAAGACCCAACCAAGAAAGAGAACTACAGACCAATCTCCCTAATGAATATAGAGGCAAAGATACTCAATAAAATACTAGCAAATAGAATGCAGCAAATCATCAAGAAAATCATACACCATAACCAAGTAAGATTCATTCCAGGAATGCAGGGATGGTTCAATATTTGCAAATCATTTAATGTTATACACCATATCAATAGAGCCAAAGACAAAAGCCACATGATCATCTCAATAGATGCAGAAAAAGCTTTCCACAAAGTCCCACATGCATTCATGATAAAAACCCTACAGAAAATAGAAATAGATCGTCTTTACCTCAATCTGATCAAAGCCATCTATGACAAACCAACAGCCAACATCATACTAAATGGACAAAAACTGAAAGATTTTACTTTAAAATCAGGAACAAGACAAGGATGTCCACTGTCACCACTCCTGTTCAATATAGTTCTGGAACCATTAGCCAGAGCAATTAGACAAGACAAAGAAATAAAAGGAGTAAGGATAGGAAGGGAAGAAGTAAAACGTTCACTATTTGCAGATGACATGACACTTTACATGAAGACCCCAAAAACTCCACAAGAAGACTCTTTGAATTAATCAACAGATTCAGCACTGCAGCTGGATACAAAGTGAACACCCAAAAATCGATAGCATTCCTATACACAAACAACAGACTGAGAGAGAAATTAAGGAAACTATACCTTTCACAATTGCATCCAAGAAATTGAAATATTTAGGAATAAAGCTAACAAAAGTAAAAGATCTAATCAATGAAAACTACAGTACTCTGAAAAAAGAGATCGAAGAGGATCTCAATAAATGGAAAAATATTCCTTGCTCATGGAGACGAAGAATCAACATTGTGATAATAACCATACTCCCAAAATTGTTGTACAGATTCAGTGCAATTCCCATTAAATTACCATTAGCATACCTCCCAGATGTAGAGAAAATATTCCTTAAATTCATCTGGAACCAGAAGAGACCCAGAATAGAAAAGTAACCCTGGGCAACAAGGACAAGTCAGGCAGAATTACAGTCCCTGACCTGAAATTATACTACAAAGCCACTGTAATAAAATCAACATGGCACTAGCTAAAAAACAGATCAGTAGAACAGACTGGAGGACACAGACACAGCCACAAACACACTCAGCCACCTAATCTTTGATAAAAGGGCCAAACAAACTCATTGGAAGAACGATAGCCTCTTTAATAAATGGTGCTGGAATAATTGGCTTGCCATCTGCCAAAGACTGAAAACAGACCCAGGTCTATCACCATGCACCGAACTCAAGTCAAAATGGTTCACAGATCTCAATATTAAAACAGAAACACTAAATCTATTGGAAGAGAAAGCAGGTAAAAACCTTGAAGACATAGGGGTAGGCAGAGAGTTCATGAACAAAAACCAAACTGCACGTGAAACACTTCAAAGAATCAACAACTGGGATCTCATCCTACTGAAAAGTTTCTGCACATCTAAAGAAATCACCAGCAGAGTAAAAAGAAAACCCACAAACTTGGAAAAAATTTTAGCTGACTGTCCCTCCGACAAAGGGCTTCTATCTAAAACATACGAAGAATTAAAAACATCAGCCCCCACAAATTCAAAGACCCAATCCAAAAATGGGCAGCTGAGATGAATACACACTTCTCAGATAAAGAAATACAAATGGCAAATAAATACATGAGAAAATGTTCAACATCATTAGTCATTTGAGAAATGCAAATTAAAATAATATTGAGATTTCATCTCACCCTAGTAAGAATGGCTAGCATTAAGAAATTAACCAATAACAAATGCCGGTGAGGCTGTGGAGAAATAGGAACTCTTCTCCACTGCTGGTGGGAATGCAGACTGGTGAAACCACTGTGGAAATCAGTTTGGAGATTCCTCACAAAACTAGGTCTAAAGGTCCCATTCAACCCAACTATTCCCCTTCTGGGTATTTTCCCAGAAGATCTGAAAACATCATATCACAGCGGTAAATATGCACACATGTTCACAGCAGCGCAATTTGTAATTGCTAAACTGTGGAAGCAACCCAAATGTCCATCCACTGAGGATTGGATAAAAAAATTGTGGTACTTTTATATTATGGAATATTACTCAGCTATAAAGAAAGATAAACTTGAAGCATTTATAGGTAAATGGTCACAACTAGAGACCACACTGGTAAGTGAAGTAAATCAGACCTGCATGTATAAGCATCGTATTTTCTCACTAGTGTAAGACCTCAAAGAGTGAATAAAAACTAGGAGGTATGATAGACATTGTGAAATGAAAGGAAAATGCTCAAAAGTAAAGGGCTACTGGGGTGTGGGAAATGAGAAGGGAAAGAAGGGGAAATTATGTAAGTATGTATATACAGGATAGCTAACATAGTTGTACTACTGTCTTCTATTGCTCTACAGAAAGGAACAGTTAATGATTACTTGTTTGATCAATCTGGTATGTCTCTATTTGCTTTCCTGAAAAGCCACTTTGAAAATGTCAATGCGGGGGCTGGGGATTTAGCTCAGCGCCAAAAGCGCCTGCCTGGCAAGCGCAAGGTCATGAGTTCGGTTCCTGGTACCGGAGAAAAAAAAAAAAAAAAAAAAAAAAAAAAAAAAAAGAAAATGTCAATGCATAATGCAACAACCATGGTTAATTTCCTATAACTTTGTCTTGTTTGTATTGCTCTTATGTTATTTTGTAAATGGATGTCTGTTTAATATGTTTTCCTTCTTTTACTTTTCAAAATAAAAAAATAAAATAAAAATATTTTTAAAAGTACAGAAAGAAGAACTACAAAAAATTCATAGCTTAATGTAGAAGACAAATTAAAATACACTGCATATTACAAGATGGCTAAGCTTCCCTCTAATTTGCTACACAAAAATGAGAGTACATGGCACCTAATGATGTCCAGAAAGCTCATTCATCATTCATACAATGTTCGTATTAAGCCCAAGCTTCTATGCTGTTTCATTCCCTGTAGAGGACCTTTCTAAAGCTGCTATAGGAGTAGAAAGGATGACTTAGGATGATTTATCCCCTAGATCAAAGATAATGCATAAAATATTTAAGAGACTGTCAAGAAAATAAATAAAGTGAAGGAGAATTAAGTGGTGTGAACAGATGGGATCTGGGCCCTAAAAGTCAATGGGCAAATTTAGTGAAATGAGAGAATAAGACTGCTGTTAAAGTAGGAGGCTGTGGTCGGAATTAAATTAGCACTACAGACATGGAGAAATTCGAAATGATAATAAAGCCTAGGTATGGTCATGACTGTGGAAGGTTGGAATAGAATAATGGTTAGTATCAATGAAGCTAGAAAAGAGAAAATAAAAAGGGGGAAAACGTGTAGCTGGGCATGGTGGCACATGGCTGTAATCTCAGTATTTAGGAGGCTAAGGCAGGAAAATCTCAAATTCAAGGCCAACCTGGACTATATAGTATGAATTCCCTGCCTTAAAAAAGATAAAAAAGAAAAGCACAGAAGTTTAGATAATGCTTTCATTAGGTCAATGAAGTTACCTAGAAAAGTCAGTACAAGAATAACCAAGAATGTGTGTGAAGACATAAGGAAGGATATTAACTCATCCTTCTTCAGCAGTGCCAAAGCTCTCCGATACCTTCCTAGTGAGGGGTTTATGTCTAGTTTGCCCCAGATCCGCCTCCCAAACTACACAGGGGATAGTCGTGAAGACTGGTTCATTCAATAACATAATTTCCTACCATGGATGCCAGTGATATGCACTGGGTCTGTGCTAAAAATCAGATCTCTCCTTAAAAACATCTACATCAAACATATCCCTATTAAAGGGAATAATTAACTGTACATGCCTAAATTTTATCCAAAATTTTTTGGGACGTGGTACTCCTGTTCAGGGTAGCCAGGAACAAAGATACTTCCACTTGAACATCATGAAACACGGTAAAATCCCTACAGCAGCAGAGCCTAGTAATGTGACTACAGTACAGAAAATAAAGAACAGCTTCCAACTTTTAAGATTTATCATAGATACTATAAAACCAAAGTAGAAATGCCTGTTTGTGTAACATGCAAAAAACAAAAGCGCACAGACACACAAACCAAACATACAAAGGAACATGTTCTTCCTTACCGTTCTGGATCAGTGTTAACCCCGATAACTGGCTTAAGTCTGTCTAAGACTTTACTTGCTGCCAGAAGCATCGTACCATCACCTAAGGGGAAAAAAGGACAAGACATAAACAGACTTGTGTTGCAAAACCAGTTTTTTTAAAGAGGAAAAAAATAATAATAAAAACAATGATACAGAATTTCAAAACATGATAAAAGGAGATTAACAATGGTTAATGTATCACACATTGTTATCTCCAAAGTAATTGCTCAGATTACCAGATATACAAATGCAAAACAGATCAAATATAAGCACAAACTACTCTTTTTAATAAGTAAAAATTAGTATAATAATATTAGCTATCTTTTGTAGATATAAATACATCTCTCTATATATATATTTTTCTTTTCCCCTCCTTTTCTCCTTTCCCCCATCTCAGTAGTTTTTTTCTTTTAAGCAGTTTCTTCTTCTTTCACAGTATCTACTATACATTTTGGATCTTATTTACTCTTTCACTTTCTTACATTAGGGAGACAATACCATGTTTACATGACAGTCTGATTTCATTTATGAGTATGGTCTCAAATTGTATTCATTTACCTATAAAAGCCTCAAGTTTACCCTTCTTTATAGCTGAGTAGTACTCCATTGTATAAAAATACATCTTTTTTATCCATTCCTCAGTTGATGGGCATTTGGGTTGTTTTGGAGGTTTAGCTACTACAAACTGTGCTACTATAAACATAGGTACACGTATGTCACTGAGGTATGGTGGTTTTAATTCTTCTGGGAAATTATCCAGAAGGGGAATAGCTGGGTCTAATGGAACATGCAGTTTTAGTTTTTTGAAGAATTTCCACACTGATTTCCACAGAGGTTGTACCAATCTACACTGCTACCAACAGTAAAAAGGGTTCCTTTTTCCCCACATCCCCTCCAGCATTTGGTTGATTTCTTGATGACTGCCATTCTTTGTGGGTTTAGAAGGAATCTCAGTGTTGTTTTAATTCGCATCTCTTGAATGACTAATGATATTGAACATTTTTTCATATATTTCTTTGCCATTTGTATTTCTTCATCTGAAAATAATGTATTCATCTCAGACGAAAAACCACTTTTTGACACCACTTTGAGAATTAGTACTTTCATTTCAAGCTACCCTGCTGACTGCTATATAATAGCTTACCTCTCCTCCTTTCTTTCTGCTATATTTTTATATTATCCCAGCTGCTCTAATCCAAGATTTCAATAGTAGCCAAGATGGACATCTTGGGCAGAAAAGCTCTTTGTTGTAGAGGACTGTCCTGTGTATTGTGGAGTGTTTAGCAGTGTCCTTGATCTGTACCTATTAGATGACACTAATTCCTCCCAGCTGAGAACTAGTGCTGTAAAACTTTTTTCCTTCTCCTACAACCAGTCCAAATTCATAAATTTTCTTGTTTTTCATTGTTTTAGATGAGGACTTTTTTTTATCTTATTGAGCATAACAGACAAATCAAATTTCCTCTGCTCAGAAATATTTCATAAATTACTTTAGTGAGAACATATTTAGCAGTGTCCAACTTCAGATTTTTCTCTCCAACAACTATTGCCAATAAAAAGCTTTAGAAAGAATAGTCACTAACAATGTTCAAGAAATAAGTAAGTGTAAAGAGGGGCACAAAATTTACCTAATTTCATTAAATCATCAACTTCAGTTGCTTTTGTTTTCATTTTGTTTTTGAGACAAGCGCTCACTATGTAGCCCAGGCTGGCCTTGAACTTGCAGCAATCCTCCTGACTCTGCCTCCTGCGCACTGGGATTATAGGAATGCACCACCATGCCTGGCCTGTTTCATTTTTTGTTAGTTTGCTTTTTTAACGCTGCTATAATTAAACCAAAATACAATTACATCTAATCTTCTGAATTACAGTTGAAGTTAAAAGCACCCCTTGAATATACACAGAAATATACAGATAGAACCTCACAGGAACATAAATTCACTATATATGCGGAATGTTATATAAAACATCTATTTTAAAACTAACCCCCAAAATACAAAATTTTGTCTTCTGGTAGGACTCTGAAGTCTTCAAAATACCTATACCCCAGTATATCTAGAAATAATGTGTCTTGAAGTGCATTTCTGTATCACAACATCATCTCTATAAAACAATTACCTCCTGCAGCTATGACAGCATCTGCCCATCGCACAGTCTCTTCATTATATTCTCTCCTCTTTACTAGACGAACCTCAATTCCTTCATTCCTAAAAAGTAATGGTCATTATTAAAAAGTAATGGTCATATAAAATTTCCATTGATGGTAACACAATAAAGGTATGTTTTCTGAAAATTGTTATACTGGAGATGTAAAACAAATTATGCTTATGTTATGTAAATTTTGTGTAGCTCTGTAAAGGTAAAATCATTTTCATTTAATTATAACAGCCAATTAACTATGACAGGTCACAAAGCATACAAATAAGCTAAAATGTAATAACTATCCAAATTTCCATGTGCTTTAAAAATACTTTTATAACCACTAACAAATAGCAATATTGATTGGTCAGAATTTCATTTTATTTTCTCTATTCCTTCTGGTGCTAAAATTTATTTAAATACAAATGGTCCAGAATATTAACACTTAGAGACACAATATGTTATAGAGCCAAGTACTATTATTTGAAATTCAACAAATATTGAGTGGCAGACAGGGACAAAAACATCTTAACGTGCGTGTTCTCATACTGATTTTCCTGCATACACACAAACTTACCCAATTATTATATTTAGTCCCAAATTAACAGAAGTTTCTATACTGATTTCAGACACTCAAAGAATAAAGTTATATTGTACTGTTTAAAAAATAGAATATTATAAATACTGTTAACTCAGCTGAGTACTAAATTAACTACAGCTGAATACCGAATTAACTACAGAAAATTCTAGTAGACCAAATAACTGAAAATATCTGAAATTTTCAGAGTGCAATAAAAATTTCCTTAGCTATAAAATCAGATCCATTAACTTCAATATCTTATGAAAATCATTTTAAAATAATGTTTACTAAAATCTAAAAATTACCTGCCAGTATAAATTATAAAAATGAAGTCCTGAATATAAAATTTCATCCAAGTCCCAATCCCACAGACTTACCGCAAGCTATCTACAATATGCTGTACATTTTTGGTGTGAATATGATGTCGTTCAAGTAATCCACTGTAGCTAGAGCCTTTTAATGCAAGCTATATCAAAATAAAAGAAATGTTGTTTTACATATATTATATATGTTTTAATGTTGTTTTTAAAAATCCCTATATAAAATAGAATTTTGGGGAAGTACATTTTAATGACTGCCTGTGAAACCTACTAATTCAAACAGAACTAGATTGTAATTTCAGAAAACCACAATTTGGTTTTGGTAACAAATACTGCATGATCTCAAAATTTGGATGGTTTTAAAGCCTAGCTTTTTTAAATGACTTCTTAACATATCATGTATGTCTATCTGAAGACCAAACATAAACTACTGTTTTTAGAGGCAGTTAGATGATCTTTATTCCACTTGCTTTTGGTGCTTTCATGTGTTCAAAGTTATGAATTCTGTTTGTAATTTACCCTACAAAAGTTAAACAGAAAGTTGGTTAGCTTGAAATGACATAACTTTTGGACATAGACACATATCCTTCAAATATTATTTCTCCTAGTTAGAGTTAACATTTCATAACTATCTCAATGCTACATTGCTACTGCCCTTCTAAAGTATATGCCGTAAAAGTAATCCATAAAGCAAAATACTGAGAAAAGTTCAGAAATATCCTGTGAGCATTCATTCAATCAGCAAGTAGGAAATCTTCATCCACTGGAGTGAATACTAGTAGAATTAAGAAGCATATCATCATCTTTCCTTTTCCAAATCCTTTTATACCTTTCCTCTTTAAGATACAGAATCAATTTTTAAGATCTTGTCCAGTACAAATGTTATTTTAAATCATTACTTGTTGAATCATTAAGAAAAATCAATTTTTAAATTGTAACATGTATTTAACTGTTTAAAATGCTATAAAAATAATACTAACAACATGAAAGATGAATAAAGCTAAACAAAAATCAAATAAAATGCTATAAAAATAATACTAACAACAGGAAACATGAATAAAGCAAAAGAAAAATCAAATACAATCTTATTCTGGGATAATTAGTGTTAATATTTTATTAATATTTTATTAGTGTTAACAATACCCAGCTTTTGTCCATGAATATTGGGTTTTAAGTTTTTAAATAGTTTTGCCCTCATTATAAATAGAAATGTATATTCCTTAAAAGAGAAGCTGAGGAAACATTTGGCTATTGTGAAAATTAATACATAGATGTTAACATAGATCAGACATCTTATATAACAAGTTAGTACTTATTCATAAGCCTCGTAATTAGAGCTAAACACTGTCAAGAAGTTTTTTTAAAGTAGTGACCAACATAATAACTCTACCCATTTACTTTAACAACACAAATCAGTTTTGAAAAACTATACAGAGACTTTCAGATTATACATGGACATAACTTTAGCATTCAGATTATCATACAATACTCAGCTACAGATTCAAACTGCACCAAACTTCTCTCAATGAGTATGGACCAAAATCCCCTTCCTTTCTTTTCTCTACAATTCATGGTTTCAACACTTGAAAAGAAATCTATATGACAATTCTCATGATTCCCAACTGCTAACCCTTTAGGAGGTCACATGAATTTACCTAACTGCCTATTTGACATCTTCCTCCAGATGTCTAACACACATCTCAAATTAATGTAAATATCAAACCCTTTATTTCCTATCTCAAGGATTTCCCACCTTCTCTAGCCAAGAATCTAGACTCACACTGTATGCCTTTTTCCTTATTATTCCCACACCCAATTACTAAATCCTAGGTCTAATCCATGCACTTCTCCTCTTTACACTACCCACATTTTAATCAGGGCTCTTCACTCTGTCAACTTGCAAAGTCTACACCCCACACAAAGACCCACAGCACGGCTCGGTTTAACATACTTGTGATATATTATGAGCTCCTTGCCTCTCTCCAAAGCCTATGTGATCTGACTTCTTCCTTCTATTTCATTTTCCATATCATTACTTCTTTTTATTTGGAGTGTCCTCCTTCCCTCAGCTCAACTCTGGCTCTTCTCTACTTTAGAATATGAGGGCTGCCTGTTCACTATATCACTGCCACTGTTGGTACTGCCCTTGAAGCTGCAATAGCTACCACTGTTAGTTCATCCCAAAACCAGTTAGTTTCTTACATAGCATTTACCACACTTAAAAGTATCTTGGGTATTTTTTAAAATTCTACTTGTCTTCCTTACTATATATAAGTACCAGGAAAGCAATGATCTTATTTTGTTTACTACTGTTCCTATGGACCTAGGTAGTGGGTATTTGTTGAATGAATTCATTCATGCATTTTTCCATTTTTTGTCTTGTATGGGTGCTGGGGATACATGCTTCTGAAAAGCAAAAACTACTGCATAAGCAGGTGCTGGAGAAGATAACTCAGCTACCTGACAATAGCCATGCAGGCCATCTTTTCCTGGTCAGAACTGGGCAATGACAGACTAATTGTAGTAGTACATTATTTTGCCACGGTAAGCACTTCTCATGATCCCATTTTAGGAGTAAATGCTTTACAAGCCCTAAAAATGTTAATGTATTCATCAAACGATCTGAGTACCTTACTATTATGTTCATTTAAATAGTAGTTGAGGGCTGGGGATTTAGCTCAGCGGCAAAAGCGCCTGCCTGGCAAGCGCAAGGTCGTGAGTTCGGTTCCTGGTACCGGAGAAAAACCAAAAAAAAAAAAAAAACAATAGTAGTTGAGCTCAATCACACGTATTAAATAGGGCACTGAAAAATGCCAAGGACAATGAGAATTAAAATGCACAGTCTCTTACAGTTTCATCAAATTTACTGCTTCTGACTTGCTATAAATAAAACTTAAGGATAGCTAGCTCTTGGACTTTAATTCCCTGTCCAAATTTTTTGACCTTGTGTTCTAATTTTTGATTTGGATTATATGGAACATGTACTAAAGATAAAGGGCATAAGCTTTACTGGGTAAGTCTTGTAAATTCTGTTCAGTGGTTCAGACATTTTTATACTTATCTTCTCCTAACAGGCTCTAGGAAATTAAGAAACTCAGCAGTAGAGTCTTAGGAAACTTTGGCTTGAGATGGTAAAGGAGTTTGAATCTGCGGGGGGAGGGGGGGGAATGTCCTTAAAAAAAGCCCAAAAACTAGAAGTTCCTTATGATTGCTAGCAACACTAAAATTCCTAAAATTCCAAATCTAAAGTTCATTTAGCATCAGAATACTTAGCATTGGAGCAGAAATGTCATTTCATAAATTCTTATTCCCACTCAAATGTCTTATTTTGAATTAATTCTGTAATAACTCATGTTCAACCTTCATTTAGAGAACACAAGTCTTTATATCATTTTATTTAAAGCTGTAACTGGTTGAGTAATTGGACTTTATTAACAAGGATTAGCTAAACCAGGCGTACAAAAGATTAAAAATTTAAGAAAATCATTTAAACAGAATGAATTGGAAAGTCTTAAACCACTGTTCAACTGACTCTTATGTTTGTATAATATACAACAGCTAGTAAGAATTTGTAGTGATATCCCTGAAAAGAACATGATTTCAAACCTCTAAAAATATACCTTAATCAGCCTAAAACAAGAAAGCACAAATCCTTGTAAAATGTTTTCTTAATTCTGCAGTGTTCCACATTAAGTATTATTCTTTATTATTTTTTCCAAAATTTCTGTTAATTCTATCCATTAAAAAACAAAAAGCTTACTCAACAAAACACATAGAAAAAGCAGATCATAAAAATCAAGACAGACACATTTCAATATAAGCAAGAGTATCTCCTACAAAAATCACCAAAAGCCAACATGTCTTCTCAAGCAGCTCTAACATTAAAAGAGAACACTATGGAAGTAAGAAAGGAAGGCTCTGAGGGGATAAATTCTGCACTCTTTAGTTGAGATATGATGGTTTGCTGTTTTCTAAATAGTCTACAACACTGTTATTATCACCAACATTTTTACTTAACTCAAACTGAATTTATTACAACTATAAATATTTAGAATTTATTTTACCAGTCAAATGCTATTTTGTACTCTAAGCAATTTCCATAAAACTGCAGTAAGAATAGGAGTTATATCTTTTAAAATTTAACACAGAAATCCACAAACTTCTGATACAATGACAGTTTCATAGGTAAACTCACTAGAAATAATTTAAGCAGCCTTCAAAGTGCTTACATTTGCCAGGCTTGGTGTACATGCCTATAATCCTCGCTACTTGGGAAACTGAGGTAGGAAGATTGTAAATCTGAGGCTAGCCTGGACCACTCAGAGAGACCCTTGTCTCAAAATACATTTTTGTTTGTTTTTTGTTTTTTTGAGACAGGCTCTCGCTATATAGTTCAGGCTGGCCTCGAACTTGCAGCAATCCTCCTACCTCTGCCTCCCAAGTGCTGGGATTACAGGAGTATGCCACCACACACAGCTCAAAATAAAACCTTTTAAAAGGGCTGACAGGTATAGCTTGGCAAGATAGCACACTTACCTAGCATGTACCAAGTCCTAAGTTCACCTCCCAGCATAATATATATAAAACTGTTGTTCCTACTTATCTTAAAAGGCTAAGACCACCAAAATAGCAGCTAGAAAGTTAATTACTCTCCTATCATGATCAGGCCTTGGGCACTGACCCCTTAATATTTCTTCAGATATATGCTACTTATCTTGCATCAGTTCTATTCCATTTATTCTTTCTCTCAGGTTCTCACTTTCACTTTTTCCACTGTTCCAGTGTCAGTATATTCCTTGTTGTTTACTTCCTCCCTTGAATGTGGGTATTGCTCAAGGTTCCATCTTTGGCTTTCTTATCTATCCTCACTTCATTTTCCCTGAATTCTCTCTCCAACTGGACAACCTGAACTAGCAAGCGTGAGCTAGTAACTCTGAAATCTATCCTGCCACCCTAAGACTCTCTCTTGAGCTACAGGCTCAAATTTTCAAAGGCTTATTTTAATATTCACCCACAGGTAGCTTAAGAAGTTCTCTACAAAAAGATTTAAACTCAATTACATATTCCCTCTTTCAAATCTGCACTATTTGCATAGGCAACAATCAACAGAATGAACCCAGCTGTCATCTTTAATTCTTCCCTTCAC